TGTTCAAGACTATGTATGATGTGGCAATGCATTGAGAATGTTCAATACTATGTATGATGTGAACATGCACTGAGAAAGGCTAAGAGTATGTTTGATGTGGCAATGCATTGAGAATGTTCAAGACTATGTATGATGTGGCAATGCATTGAGAATGTTCAATACTATGTTTGATGTGGCAATGCATTGAGAATGTTCAAGACTATGTTTGATGTGGACATGCACTGAGAAAGGCTAAGAGTATGTTTGATGTGGCAATGCATTGAGAATGTTCAATACTATGTATGATGTGAACATGCACTGAGAAAGGCTAAGAGTATGTTTGATGTGGCAATGCATTGAGAATGTTCAAGACTATGTATGATGTGGACATGCACTGAGAAAGGCTAAGAGTATGTTTGATGTGGCAATGCATTGAGAATGTTCAATACTATGTATGATGTGAACATGCACTGAGAAAGGCTAAGAGTATGTTTGATGTGGCAATGCATTGAGAATGTTCAAGACTATGTTTGATGTGGACATGCACTGAGAAAGGCTAAGAGTATGTTTGATGTGGCAATGCATTGAGAATGTTCAATACTATGTATGATGTGAACATGCACTGAGAAAGGCTAAGAGTATGTTTGATGTGGCAATGCATTGAGAATGTTCAAGACTATGTATGATGTGGCAATGCATTGAGAATGTTCAATACTATGTTTGATGTGGCAATGCATTGAGAATGTTCAATACTATGTTTGATGTGGCAATGCATTGAGAATGTTCAAGACTATGTATGATGTGGCAATGCATTGAGAATGTTCAAGACTATGTATGATGTGGACATGCACTGAGAAAGGCTAAGAGTATGTTTGATGTGGCAATGCATTGAGAATGTTCAATACTATGTATGATGTGAACATGCACTGAGAAAGGCTAAGAGTATGTTTGATGTGGCAATGCATTGAGAATGTTCAAGACTATGTATGATGTGGCAATGCATTGAGAATGTTCAATACTATGTTTGATGTGGCAATGCATTGAGAATGTTCAAGACTATGTATGATGTGGACATGCACTGAGAATGGCTAAGACTATGTTTGATGTGGCAATGCATTGAGAATGTTCAAGACTATGTTTGATGTAGACATGCACTGAGAATGGCTAAGAGTATGTTTGATGTGGCAATGCATTGAGAATGTTCAAGACTATGTTTGATGTGGCAATGCATTGAGAATGTTCAAGACTATGTTTGATGTGGCCATGCATTGAGAATGTTCAAGACTATGTATGATGTAGACATGCACTGAGAATGGCTAAGACTATGTTTGATGTGGCAATGCATTGAGAATGTTCAAGACTATGTTTGATGTGGCAATGCATTGAGAATGTTCAAGACTATGTTTGATGTGGCCATGCATTGAGAATGTTCAAGACTATGTATGATGTAGACATGCACTGAGAATGGCTAAGACTATGTTTGATGTGGCAATGCATTGAGAATGTTCAAGACTATGTTTGATGTGGCAATGCATTGAGAATGTTCAAGACTATGTTTGATGTGGCAATGCATTGAGAATGTTCAAGACTATGTTTGATGTGGCAATGCATTGAGAATGTTCAAGACTATGTTTGATGTGGCCATGCATTGAGAATGTTCAAGACTATGTTTGATGTAGACATGCACTGAGAATGGCTAAGACTATGTTTGATGTGGCAATGCATTGAGAATGTTCAAGACTATGTTTGATGTGGCAATGCATTGAGAATGTTCAAGACTATGTTTGATGTAGACATGCACTGAGAATGGCTAAGAGTATGTTTGATGTGGCAATGCATTGAGAATGTTCAAGACTATGTTTGATGTGGCCATGCATTGAGAATGTTCAAGACTATGTATGATGTAGACATGCACTGAGAATGGCTAAGAGTATGTTTGATGTGGCAATACATTGAGAATGTTCAAGACTATGTATGATGTAGACATGCACTGAGAATGGCTAAGAGTATGTTTGATGTGGCAATGCATTGAGAATGTTCAAGACTATGTTTGATGTGGCAATGCATTGAGAATGTTCAAGACTATGTTTGATGTAGACATGCACTGAGAATGGCTAAGAGTATGTTTGATGTGGCAATACATTGAGAATGTTCAAGACTATGTATGATGTGGACATGCACTGAGAATGGCTAAGAGTACGTTTAAAGTAACCATGCAGTGAGAAAGAGGAAGAATATATTTGACATATGCATGTGTTGAGAATAGCTAAGAGTATGCTTGAGGTGGCCATATCACTGGTGATCCACTCGATTACGCTGGTTACCAAAACGAACCGTTTTGGTAACAAAATGTCGGAACGTCAAAGGCACGATTTTTCTCTTTTCCTTATTTCACGCGTTGTAGGCAGAATCCCCATGACTTTTTTTCTCAGAACGTGCATCAGTATCATATATTTTAGAAAATGTAAATGTTTGCGAAAAAAATAGCTCAGAAGACAACAGAATCGTCGATTTACTTCCTCACTTAAGTTACATAAACGGTTTTTTCGAAAAACAGTTAAGATCTGCACTTTTAACCGAAACCGTTTATGTAACTTAAGTGAGGAAGTAAATCGACGATTCTGTTGTCTTCTGAACTATTTGTTCGCAAATATGTACAATTTCTTAAACATATGATACTGATACACGTTTGTGTTAAAAAATGTCGTGGGAATTCTGCCTACAACGTGTAAAATAAGGAAACGAGAAAAATCGTACCTTCGATGTTCCGACATTTTGTTACCAAAACGAACCGTTTTGGTAACCAGCGTAATCGAGTGGATCACCAGTGCATATCATGAGTTGAAAATGGCTTGCTTAAAAAGAATGTGTTTGCTGTGGTTGTGTGTTTGTATTTTGCAGCACTATGAAAAGTACTTACTACTAAAAGGGTGAAGACATCTAATGCTCTCTAACAGGTTTTGATTTCAATGCAAGTACCTCACAATTTTTTAATAAAAATTGATTACATAACAATGAAAAAGATCACAATTTATTGACCTTATACCGTGATGATTTATTCCTACTTGTTGTTTCTCTAATCCTAAGGGATTATGTACTAAGTAAATAGCTAGCTTTTAAGTTAAAAGCAATATTAATCCAGTATACATTAATCTAAGTCATCTTAACATAAGGGAGCCAGGGAAAAAATCTTCATGATGGTTGTGCTGCAAATTGAAAAACAAAGCATAATTAAGCGGAATTATCAAGAATTGATTTAATAGGCATAAAGTCATCAGTCCAAACTGTGTACAAATGACAGAAAATGAAGAAGGTCATTCATTTAAAAAAGGCAAAGGGTGAAACTGAGAAATTTTGGAGAGAAACTTTGGGACAGTTACAACCATAAGATTGTAAATCATAGTCTGCAAGATAAAATACAATGTCTAGTTAAGAAACATTTCTAATAAATCATTCTAGCTTTGAAAATTTTTATAGAATTCATAACTTTTATAAAAAAAAGTACACTTTTTGCGTTTTGAATTACAGAGAATTATTGTTGAACATTGGAACTTTTTGAAAGTCTTGATATTTGATATAATTACTGTCCTGTCAGGTATCAGGCATGGATAGCTGTGATATCATAACACCCCCAAATAGAAAATCTAATGTTTGGGACCACTTTGAACACCCCTCAGTAAAAACAAATAGTAAACATATACAGACTTAAAAAACAATTTGCCAAATATGCAGAGCTAGAATTAAATTACACAGCGAAGTAAGGTACTCACATTACATATGTTTATCTCAAATTTGTGCTGTATTATAAATATATCTTTTATTGGTACTAACTTGCTTAAATATTGCAGTGATTGTTCAGATCATGGCTTAATCGTACAGTATTAGAAAATACAAATTCAATTGGGTTTGTGGAGTTCAACCCTTGGAAAGTAATGCTACAGCAATCAAATTCTATATAGCTATGATTACATTTATGTTTTTAGAAGGAAATGAAATTTATCAATCATAGATCATGCCAATTATGTATATTTCAAATAACCACATAATTTTTCCAAAACTGATATATTCATGAACCTTGTTTATTATGCAGATTCAATTTGCTTAACATTCTATCAATTCCTATGGCCTAATAAAAGAAGATTGCAACAAACTCGTCAACTGCGTATTTTATTATTAAGAGAGTTCACATATTTCCCAGGATGTAACAGCGAGAATTTATCATTAACTAGCTACGTCCCTCAAGAATCAGCTTTCGTAGATCTACAGCGAGACAATTTATAAATTTTACGGTTGAGCTAAAAATATTGTATTAGATGAATTACTGAGTCTTCATGAATAGGAAAAATGCCAGATACGACTAATGTATTGATAGACAGATACTTAAATGTGTTCTTTGTTGCAACTACTTTACTCCCATTAAGTAATTCATTCTCATCAATGCTCACGCACTCTGATTCTAAAGTATGAAAATCTTCATCTGAGTGTTAATTAACGAAACATGATTTTTGCTTACCTTATCTCACCCCCTGACCTTTCACAGGTAGATACAGAGTACTAAATCACACAATGTTCATAATAACATTGTCTTCATGCAGCCTTCTCAGTATGCAGAATTATGTATATTACAAGAACATATGTACAGATTTATTTCTGTACTCTGATTATTTTGAAATAAAGATGGACTAAGTTAAGGTGCTGTCAATGAATGAAATTAAGTACATGTACCTGAGAAAGTTTTAGTGACATAAATGAAAGGTAAAAAGCAATGTTCTCATATAGAAAACAAGGCATTAACGAGCAAAATGTCACTACCTGCCATTTGTTACAGATACCAACCAACAAACACTGAACACCAAACACCATCGAAAAAAAAGTTGGAGACTATATTGTATTATATTGCATTAGGATAGAAGGTCAAAGCCACTTTTCAAATTAGGTCACCAAACAAAAAAAACATTACTACTTGGCCCTTTAGGCCTAGAACTAAAATCCATTTCTGTTAAAACTGGTGTTCAACTTACCATCTTGATTTCCCCAATCCCAGTCTGGGCCTCTTACTACCTTGGCCCCCTGCAGGATACCTTTGGTTGGGATCTTTGCAGCATTCACTCTTTTTGGCACTTTGTGGCTAAAAATTATAGTAAAAATACTATGCAATTTTCAACTTTTTTTAAAAAAAACTATAAAATATTAAAACTAATGACACAATGTTATATTTCAACAATGTGAGGACCATTTTTAATTTGTTAGATATACTATATTTTGCAAAAACTTCAGATCTTAATGATGACGTACAAGCCATTTTGATCAAAATACATGATTTTTTCATATTAGAAGTTGTGGTCATTTAAAATTTCAGGAGATATTTTGATAAGACTTCTAGACATTATTGTTACTTGCAATCCACCCTTTCGAGTTTGATTCATAAAAGTTAACCTTGACCTCAGGTCACCTAATCATGGGTCACCAAGGGTCACAGCAGCTCCAAAAAGCCTTAAAATGCCAAATTCCTAGATACTGACCTTTGACTTTAGAATGACCTTGACCCATAAAGTTGACATCTTGACACAGTAGCCTCCAAATGCCTTAAAATGCCATATACCTAAATATTGACATTTGACCTTGAAATACTCTTGACCTTCGTAGAATACCAATTGACCCACTTAAAGTATGTAGCACAAGTATGATGACCCGTGGTCTCAGAGATGAGACATACAGAGAGACAAAGAAAGATGGATGACCATGCCTTATAGTGAGAAGAAGCTACTGTATACATTCAGCTGCCTATGCAATATCGACAAAAGTGATATTTCTACATTCTACAAAACAAGTGGACAAATGAGTGATTGCAATTGCTCAACATATGAGCAAAAAAATATATGGTTCAGTTTCAATAGTATGAATCAGAAAAAGTAAAATAGGCTTAGAACAGGAAATTAGTACATAACTTTACATTGGAGGCAGTAAGCAAATCCAAAAAATAACAAGTGACATTTTAAGAAAAGAAACAGGTGAAATGTGACCTCCCAGTAATTAATTTGCCTGAATGAAAATTTATTTTAAGTTGTAATTTTCATAATTAATTCTCACTTATTTTATTTCCAATTGAAATTATTCATCAAAATATTTACTAAAAATAATCTCTTTTGATACAAACAATTAATCGAATCACTCACCCTTGGTGTGAGGCCGAATCAAACCTCAGAAATGAATGTGTCAGATCATGTTGATCGGCCATGTAGCATTGGGTGCAAAGGTCAAAGTCGAAGCATTTTGTACATTTCCAACGCATTCCCATCACCCCTTGCTTCTTACAGGCATCACATATAATGTTGGGATGTTTCACACCTACAAAAAAGTGTTATCCCATAGTTAATAATTTTTTAGGGATGTAACAGAGTTGTAAGTGTGGGATATAGGGGTTTTCCTTTCAAACTTTAAAAATTAAAATTAGAAAAAAGAAAATCTCCCAAAATTAGTTTGGCAATTTGCTATATCCCCATTCCCCCAAACCCTATATTTTCTTTTTTAAATGTGATATGAATATCTTAATAAGAGCTTTTATACAAGGAAATAAAATGGTGCAATCATTTCAAAGAGATTATAGTAAGTTCAAGGAAAGATCAAACTTATCTAAAAACCAAACAAGGAAGGAAGTATTGCAATTATTTCAATGGTTGATAAAATGCTTTTGATTTCTACTTGTGGACACTTATAAATATACTAGGCAAATAAAAATTGCATTTGTAATGAGGTCAAGTTTAACAGCTTGAAGTATTTCCTTCTTTTAATAAGAAATGTACAATCCATCTCTTTAATACAACCTTATAGATTGTTCTAAATGTACTTTGAGTCAATAAGGCATTGATTTTTTCTCATTGAACAGAGCTTTTTCCTTATAAGTTCTAACTTTTGAACCAGAGTATGGAAAACTCTTCAAAAGAGTCCAAATTTGTACATTGTCCTCAAATGAGAAAACTTACTGATTCAGCCAGTAATCAAAATATAATTAAAACTCCAAGAAAACTCTATTCGAGATCATTAGAAGGCTATTGTAAAACCATATATCGTACCCAGAGGGTAGAACGGCTAATCAATGGGGAAGCAAGGAAGTAACACAGAGGTAGGGAGATGAATACCCCAGAAACATGCAAGCTGGGATGTCTTATAAAAAATACATGGTTTTCATGTAATGGTATGTGTATTGTGTATAAACGTTAAACAACCTTTCTAAATTTTATTAAATCTTAAATTGAAATTCGTTATTTTAAAACGTAAATTCTCAATTATAGGCTTCAACAATAGTCAATTTATATGCATTATTTGTGTTCTATGCATTAGAATTGAACATACATATTACCTCGAGCAATATTCATATAAATTATGAAAAATGCGTTTAACATATTAAACACATAAACTGATTCATGTTTTTATGTTTATTTTTGAGAAAAGAAGTTCTCTCAACCCATGTGGCAGTTAGATGAATTAACACTTTTTGACAAAACAAAATTTTGTCAGTGCATAGATTGCTACACCCACTTGAGAATTAGGAAATAGACTCAGACCCACCTGAAAATGTTGAAATATTGGCACAGTTTGACAATTTTTCAACAGAATCAAAAATTTGCACTTATTTGAAAAAAAAAGTTCAGTGGAGAATACAAGTATAGAAATGCATTTTTTCCAAAAACAGGGATGTACAGCGAGAAATCCTGTCTACATTATTTTCAGATCACAGACTGATTTTCAATTCCCTTTTATTGATAAGATTAGCAGCATTAACTGTAATTAATTTACTCTATGAGTAGTTTAATGGCCAGAGGTTAACAAAAGACCAACAAACAGCATTTGCCACAGGGTTTTTGGGGAGGGAACATCTTTCATGCAATGGATATATAAAACAATATTTATAGAAAAAATTTAAGGAAGAAAATAAAAAAATATTTTTAGTATTCATTTACTTAAATGAAGGGAAGAATTTGCATCTTCAATTTGATAAGTCAATACCGGAAAGTCAATATAATGAAAAGAAGAACTGATACAGTGTTTATGTAAGAATATGAAATTCTGGCCATTTAATGTTTCTGTTACTACTTACCAATAGGTGCATTGTCGATTATTCTGAGGTCATGTGATCCCTGGTAGCCCACTCTATAGTTGGTACGTGTTCCATTATCCCACTGCACAACCACAGTCTTATCAGGGGATGTTGAGCTACCAGGCTTTCCGATCTCCACTACTGTGCCAAGGTGACCCTCGCCTTCATCTTGATTTCCCCATTTCCAATCAGGCCCCCGTACAACACGTAATCCCACTTCCATTTCTGGAATTGTTTTCGTCTCCAGCCACCCCTTTTGAGCTGTAGACCTGAAAGCAGAAATCGCATATGCTTGTTAATAACAAGAATTTAAGAAGGCGAGCAGAATTGACAGGTGATCATTCATTCATTCTGACAGAAAATTTATGAGAATAGAATGAAGTTCACTGAAGCTGACTGCTTTGGACATACTTAACTTGGCAGGTTGGCCTTTAAGGGTCTTAAAGACTTACTCATATCTATGCATTACTGTTAATCTAAAATAGTTTGCATGATTAAATTTTGTGATTTCACCTACTTTCATAATCAGATCATATTTTATATGATTTTCAGATTTATACCCAATTTTTCATAAAAACAGATATTCATGATTCTTTGACAAATAGTTAATAATGATGTCAATTTAGATCATGGTTTGGGTCTATATCAATAACAATAGACCAGATGTAAGTAGAGATAATCTTGGTTTACGTTGTAAAAAAGTCAAAATTCAGTCAAAGTGATTTGAAATCTACACATAAAATTACATCGAGAAAAGTGGTTTTAAAAAGTGTTTATCTACTTATCTACTTTGAAAAAAAAACCTTTTCTTTGAATATGTGACTTCAAGGTCAGGGAGATCCCCCGTTATAAAATCACAAAAAGTGAAATATCTTTCTTATATTCGACAGATAATATTTTCTTTTACTGGACATATTCTAACTTGTATAACTATCAGTTACATAAGGGTAATATGAAAGTTGAACCACTAAAACTGATGAATGTTCAAGTTTAAGGGAACTTTCTAATACCCTGCCAGATGTTATCTGCCCTGAATTAGCCACCTGGTGGTGAAACTGTAACTACCTTGTCCTACTCTAACATGGTTATTATACACACTTTGCATCCCTTTGTTTGAGTCCCTAATAAACCTCAAGATGTTCCATTATAGATTTTTTATGTTCTGATCTATTCATTTTTGATAATATTACATCAAGCTCTTCCCTGCTATTTATTTTCGTATATATTTTATTTCCCAAAATTTTAATTTTGCAAAATATAAGATACATACTCAGGAAAATATCTCACATGCAAAAATTTTCAGGTCCAAAGTAATTCTTAATTCAAAAAAAAGTAATTTTTGGTAGAAGAGACAAGGGATTATTCCATGATGAGGTAGAGGGATTGAAGATGTAATAACTATACTGCCTTAACATGACAATAATTACATACTCAAGATATTGCTCTATGCAATATAATCAGAGAACAGCAACCACTCATACTAGTATTCCGTGATTCCGCTTCGCCGCAGAAAAACCGCAGAAAATTTTCATTTTCATTTTTTGCAGAATTTTTGTTTTGGCACAGAATTTCGCAGAAAACATGATTTTTCCAGTCATCTCATATTCTTCACCCACCTAAACACCCAAAGACTCCGCTTGTTTGTTGTCAGATACTTGTTAGAGGTCGCAACGGTACTGAAAACCAGTACCGGTAACCGTCACGCTAATAACCGTACCGTTACCGAAATACCGGTAAAGATATGTAAGATAAAATGCCAATGCGCTGCCACCCCCACTTTGTTCCGAACTCTCTTCGTAGCTTCTCAAGTCTATATGCATACATGGTGCAAGATCGATTTGAACCCATACTGATGAACTTCACGAAATAGAATGTAACTATCTTACGAATCAAGATGTATTTTTAGTTTTAAATTAAATGCCAGTATTACACATTTCAAACCATTTCTCAACTGTATCAATAGCAAGCGACGTGCAGTATACATGGGGGTGGGGTAGGTAAAATAGATTTTATTGACTGTCTTGATAGATGGCGCCAAGAACAAATAACACGTTGTAAAAGACTAGGAGTAATTACTCAGTTTACGTGATAATATCTACATTTGTGCCGATTTATCGTAATCTAAAACATTTATAAATATCTATAGACGATATACAGCGGATTAGTTGAGACCATGTCCAAACTACAGGACAACCAACCGGCGATTACTGACTTCGTCAAAATTCGTGCTGATAAAAACCAAGATGGTGGACAACTTGCACAGGACTTTGATAAGCCATCCTCGATAACTATACCCGTGAAGCGAAATAGACGTGAAGCGGGGTTCCCAAGTAAGGACAGTGAAACTTCGCCAGTACCGTACGATGACGTTTTTGAGAAAGCTCTCGGTGAAGCATCCTCAGGTACATGCACCACAGACGATCCACATGATATGGATTCTGAGCAACCGGTAACTATCCTCTCTCTTACTACCGTTATGAGAACATTACTTAATGAAAATAACACCCAGATAATGTCTCAAATCCGTGATATGGTGAAGCATGAAATTGAAAAATCCACGATAAAGCTATCTACTGATCTAAAACAACTTCGTGAAGAAAATGACACTCTGAAGTCCAGAATCATGATATTGGAGAAATCCCATACTGATATGACTGTTAAGCAAGATCAGCTAGCCCTTGAGGTAAATCATAATGCTCAATACAGCAGGAAATCCACATTACGTGCCGTTGGGATCGCTGATGACAAAAATGAGTCTGTTGAAAAGTGTATTGACACTCTCTGTAAAACCCTAAATGATCACCTGCCTGCAGGAGCTATGATTGAACCTGATCACATTGAAATTGCCCACCGTTTGCCTGGAAGAGATGGGAAGCCACGACAAATCATAGCCAAATTCTTTGACCGACTTGTTAAGGACAAAGTAATGTCAAACAAGCGCCACCTAAAAGGCACCAATGTGAGAATTTACCATGATCTCAGTCCGAGAAACAGAGTACTACTGAAAGATGTCAAGCAGCACAACGATATTGATCAAGCATGGTACAATAACATGAAAGTGTATGGTAAACTCAAATCTGGTACAATCAAAGTATTCTCAATCAACGATAACATTGACTCTGTCATTGCCAGGTCTTAATTACCTTGGTGTGCTTGGACGATTGCCATAACTTTCTCGTGAACATTCCCTCACTCACCACTGTTACCCTTGTTGATTTAAGTTATAGAAAACGCTGGTCACCATGCAGAAAGTAACATCAGTGTATAAACTATCAATATAGATTCCTAAAATAACCGAACATAACTTTCCTCACTGACAAATGAACGTCTTAATGAGCTGCTGCTCGTGCTAAACTTGACGATTTTCTCCAGTTGTTTTGTTTACATCTCTCTGTCACGTGACTATTTGACCTTCCGGAAACCGGAAGTGTGCTTTTATCAAATTTATATTTCACGTTTCTGTCTTTTGAATCTAAAAACACGGTGAGTTCTTTTTCCTTCTGTATATAATGATGTTCTCAACGAACACCTTTGTAAATAGAACTACTGGAGAAGTTCGTTTTTCGAATTTTATATACGAGCCTGACTAACATTTTACTATTTAGATTTATTTTTCTCCAGTATGTATTACTCTATTAGAGTCTATATACTGTAATGTATAAATGTTATAGTAGCTTGCAAGCATATACTATGATTATGATGAATCGCAAGCAAGTTTTGTATTGTTGCCATGTATTACTGTTTTTGTTTTTGTTTTAATATTGCTGCCCATTGTATTTCATGTGTCATGTAGTCCATTTTGCTGGCTACCAGGCTACTTTTTATCCTGAAATTGGTACTTTGCTACTGTAATTATGATTCCATAACTGAGTTGTACTTCCTATATCTTTGCATCAAAAAACCTTTGTTGCATAACACCATGTGTAATGTACCCATATTCCTTATTGTCATGCACACACTACATGTGTGCATACTTTTGGAAATTATCAATCATAGAGGTTGGGTTGGGGATGGGGATTACTTTTACATTTCTAAATACTGTTTACTTAGCTTTTTACCATTTGTTACTAGCATATATACCTTTCAGTTAACCAACAGTGCAGTCAAGTCAGGCATAGGTTAATGGGTGCAGTCGACATTCAGTCGTGGCGAAGCAGAATTGGAATTTTTAACTCGAGAATCAAAATACCAGGTTTGAGAATCAAAAACAATGGTACTAAGAGGCAAATGTCAAGTCCAAGTTTTGTAACAGTCTTAATACTTATATACCTTATTCTACTCACCTTAGATATAATTTCCTGCATTGATTTGACAAATAATTACAATAAACTCTTTAATGAATTAACTAGGCTCATGGCTATTGTGGTCATAATCTACTTGTTAACAGTCATGTTTGTTACATTATTTATGTCAATGCAAATGCTTATGAAGCTTATAGGCAATGTAAAATATGCAAATATTTTTGACAATTTCACACTCACTGTCTTGATTTTTCAAACTTCAGTCTACATTTTTGACCAAAGTGATTTAATCTTGCAGGCCGGCGACATTGAAACTCATCCTGGTCCTCACTCTACATGTACCATGCAGCATGATCTCAAGTTCCTTTTCTCAAACATTAACAGCATAAGCAGTGGGGAAGGTATCAGGTTTGAAAGTTTTAAACATAGATTAAGAAAACATGGGGTATCGGTAGCTGGACTCTGTGAAGTAGGCAATTTGAATGACAAGATTATTTCTGAAAACTACTTACTTCCTGACTATCACTCTCCCCTTTATCATCAAGGGGGTAGAGGGCTCATGATATACATTAAATCTGACCTTACCTACATTCCCATGCCGGATTTGAATACTGATAACAGTCTTTGGGTTAATATCAAAGTTAGAAATACTTCAATACTATTTGGTGTACATTATCGCTCTCCTAGTATGAATGTAAATGAGGAAAATGTTTATTTTGACCATCTAAGGGAAAATCTCTCCAAAGCATCCAAGATAAAATGTGACCACCTAATTATAAACGGTGATTTCAATTCCAAGCATCAAAAATGGTGGCCTGAAGGTACTACTGACTCGAGAGGCAATAAACTTGACTCTATTTTATCCAACTTAAATCTTATCCAGTTAGTAAAAGAGCCTTCCAGAATAACAAGAAACTCAAGAACCTGCATTGACCTTTCTATTACAAACAAGCCTTTTCTTGTAAGGGAATTGGTTGTTTCTGACCCTATTGGTAATACTGACCACTCTACTATTTTGACCACTCTTCTGTTAAAACTCAGTAAGAGACACAAATTAAAGAAAACCATTTGGAAATATGACCAGGCTGATATTGAGGGTATAAATTCCAACATTCGTAATTTTGACCTGACTGAACTATATAATCAGAGTAATAGAGACATTAATGTTACAACTGAAAGCTTTTCTTGTCATATTTTTGACATATTTTCAAAATACATTCCTCAAAAAACAACAATTTTAAATGCAAATGATCAACCTTGGATGAACTCAAAAATTAAACGCGAAATCAATAAGAAAGAACGACTTTATCGGAAAACCAAATCAAAAAATGACACAACTATTTTTGACAACTACACTGCTCAAGCTGAAAAGGTCAAATCCTTAATAAAAGAGGCAAAATTAAATTACCAGGAAAATATTGTAAAACAGATTAATGAATCAACCTGTAAAGGAAAACAGTACTGGAACATAGTCAATTCTTTTCTATCCAGAACTTTTCATGCTTTACTCCCTAGTTTGAAGTGCAATTTTTCAGATCACATAGCTACAACTGAGGGTGAAAAAGCTGAGTGTTTCCTTAACTTTTTTTCTTCAAAATATCATAATTTAAACCAAGTGGATAACGATGCACTTCCACATTTTCCAAATAGAACTGGAATATCAATTGACCATTTATCTACCAATCCAGATGAAATTCTTCAAATAATCCAGTCCTTTGATCGTGATAAAGCCTGTGGTCTTGACAAAATTAATAACAGAATGACAAAAATAGCCCAGGAAGCATTATCCTTCCAGTTATCAAAATTGTTTAACATGATTTTTGCATGTGGCCAATTTCCTAGTTGCTGGAAACTTGGAAACATTTCTCCAATTTATAAGAAGTCTGATAGATCTCAAGTTGAGAATTATAGACCGATTACTTTGCTAAGCACTTTTTCCAAAATTTTTGAAAAAGTTGTGCATAATCGCATTTTAACGCATCTACTTGAAAATAACCTTCTTTATCAATTTCAATCTGGATTTCTTCCAGGACACAACACTGAGCTACAACTTTTAGCAATAACTGACTATATCTTTAACGAAATGGAAAAAGGTAACTGTGTTAATTCTGTTTATTTAGACGTGGCGTCTGCTTTTGATACTGTACCGCATAACTTACTCATTCACAAGATGAAATCATATGGAATTCAAGGTAAATTAGCCGACCTCTGCTCTTCTTACTTAGAAAATCGAAAAGTCTGTGTCACTGTAGATGATCACACATCAAACTTCTCTCCTGACCACTTCATAAACTCCGGTGTGCCTCAGGGCTCCATAATCGGACCCCTGATGTTTCTGATATACATAAATGACCTCCCTGACACTCTGACCTCGAAAACTTTTATCTATGCAGATGATACCTCCTTATACTCTTTCTTTCACCCTTCTGGTAATCAAACTGGCCAACTCCAAAATGACCTAAATCTTTTAAGTGCATGGTCTAGAACCTGGCAATTGAAATTTAAAGCATCTAAAAGTGCTCATTTAGTTTTTCGCTCAACCCGTCAAAAAAATATTCAAATGTCTCCGCTTTACTTTGATGGTGAAATGATCCCCCAAAAGCAATCACATAAGCACCTGGGTTTCATCTTAGATGAGAATTTGACTTTTAATGATCATATAAACTATCTGTCTAATAAAGTTCAAAAGCTGTTAAATCCTTTGAAGCTCATATCAAACAAAATACAGTCGCACCATCTTGAAATAATGTATAATTCATATTTGGCGTCTCATTTTGACTATTGTAGCTCCATTTACGGATCGTCATCCTTGGCGGCCTTGTCAAAGCTTGATAAAATCCACTACCAAGCTGCTGTTATATGTGCTGGGGTACTGCATGGCTCTAACACCTCAAAAACTTTAAAATGTTTACAGTGGAAATCGCTTACTGACAAAAGACACGAAAAAAATCTAAGACTGATGTTCAAAATTGTAAGAAAGGAAGTGCCTTATTATGTCCATAGTCTTTTTGACCAACATCGCAACCAAGCAACTAGAATTTTAAGACACTCTTTACCCTTTTCCTGCCCAAGAAATATTTCAATGAGACTCTCCAAAGCACCAGTTTTAAAACTTATAAATGATTGGAACCAGCTAAGCCAGACTTTTCGTGAAATTCAAACCATTTCTAGATTCAAAAGCTCTATTAAACAGATATTTATCCCTATTTCAAACTTTATACCAACTACAAAACTAAATTTAAGTAGAACCAACGAAAAACTGCTAAATAGGCTTCGAGTTGATTTTGCCCTTAAAGACCATTTCTTTACTCATAATTTTACTGGAATAATTGACAACAAATGCCTCTGCGGCTCTACTGAAGATACAAAGCATTTCATTCTAACCTGCCCTCGCCATACCCATGAACGTAATAAAATGATGACTGCACTTCGTGAACAAAATTTATTGTTTGATACTCAACTTATTTCTAGTAAGACAGAACAGGTCAAATACTTAATTTATGAAAATGAACTCACTATTGATTCTCAGAAAATCCTGATAGATATAGTGATGCAATTTGTACAGGCCTGTTATAAGTTTCCATCAAATTAATGTTTTTCTCATTTGTATCTTGTGACAACCCCCCCCCCTCCCTCCCAACCTCTCACATTACCAATAAACCATCTATGATTACTGTAATTAATCCTCTATTGTAATTTAAACTACCTAGAATGCCTATGGCGATTGGTAGTAGATATTTTGTGTATTTTTTGATTATGAAGGAAATAAATAATATGTTAAAAAAAAAAAATTGACTGTCTTGAGTTCTGGAAAGTGAACGGAGGAAAATATCCTGATGTGGCGAGTTTGGCTGAAACATATCATGCTATTCCTGCGTCATCCGTGTCAAGTGAACGCCAGTTCAGTGCAGCTGGCAACACCATCACTTTCAAACGGGCACGATTTCAACCTGAGGTTGTCAATGCCTTGTTGTTCGTAAATGACTATTACAAACATAATTCAGTTTCTGGATCTGACGTTGACACTACAACTACACCGGAACTGCCAAACATAACTACAACCAAATCTGAGCCTCAGCATGAAGCTACAACACCTGAACTGCGAAACATGGAAATCACACCTGAACTGCCAAACATGGACATCTTAATGTCTATGTAAATGTACGCATCGTGAAAGTGGAAATTAAACGAAATAGTTAAAAAAACGACGTGTCTTTTATTTCCCCGGGGATTATCGTCGGTTAACCGGTTAATAATTTCAATACCGGTAAATGCTCAATTCCGTACCGAAACCGTATAACCGGAATTACCGTCAGCCTCTAATACTTGTGTTTTGTAAGATTTTCAAGAGGAAATCTGAAATCTGTTTCAAATTCTCGAACTTTCGCCTTTGCACTTAGAGGTAAGACTGTGTCTAACATAATCACGAAATTTGAAACCAATGACTGTCCCTCGTAATTGTTTTGCAATAATATGTCTAATATTGTATTCTATTGTATTCTAATGCAATAAATCATGCTTCTTCTTTCGTTTTACTTCCTCATATGTAAATACTAAATAGACGACATCTGAATTCCCTGCATATTGATCTTGAATTTCGTGATAGTTCACTAGTGAGCATTTGGTAAGTTTTGTCGCTAATTAATTAACATTGCATCTGGTGTTATTACTGTAGTACTAGTTGTCCATTATCAGTGAATAATAAGCAGCATGAGTAGATTTTAAGAATTGTTTATTTTGTGGTGAAAATTATTGATTTAAGCAAGAATTTCACTTTTTACACATACTTGTACCACAATCAACAACGAGACACAAAGCAAGATTATGCGCATATGTATTTTAATGGAAGTGGGGATTTCAAAGTCGAAAAAATCCAAAAGGCTTATATCATTGCTAATATATGGTAAATGTGAGTCTAAAACATCCAAAACAGAACTCAATCCATCCAGAACTGCATCATTGAATGGTCATTAAACCAAAAGTCCATGTAAGTAGTGACAAATGCCTTGAATTTCCAGGTGTTCTAATTTTCTCAATTTAAAAAAAAAATAATCGCCAAAATTCTCTACTCGCTCGTCAAATTTATCATTCTACTCGAGGAGAGATTTTGGTGGCGAGTCCCACCACTAGTCATTTTAATCACCAATAAAATTGCATTGAGCTGGCATCAAATGTCTGAGTGGTCTATTGTCAACACAGTCAGAGAGAATGTTTCTGGCGAAATTCTGGGACTTCAAATACTTTTAAGTTGGGAAACCGGAAGTGCTTACCTTTTTTAATTCCCGAATCTCTCCGAAATTAGCTCATCTTGGTGACTGTAAATTGCACAGCTGTATTCAATGGAGTCTTGTCATATTCGATCAGCCTCAATTTTAAAGTGTATATTTTATTTTCAACGTGATTTCATCGTTTTTTGTCGACTGGTAAGAACACGCCGGGCAAATGGCAAGATGGATGACTTTTGACCTGACCTTGACCGATGGTGATCACGTCATCAATATTACCAAGATGGCGGTTTCAAAATTTTCTAAAATCGCTTCAAATAATATTATGTTAATTCCTAGCGACTTAAGATATCTCTTAGTTTGCTATTTCACAATAAGATAACGAAATGTGTAAGGAATTCGTATTTATCAATTAAAACATCACATCGACATTTGGTATTCGTAAACTAGACGATGAAGATAACGACCTCGAAAAAAAACAAAAGAGCGAGTACCGGATTCGAACCCGGGCCTCCAGCGTGCTAAGCAAGGATTCTCCCCCTAGACCACCGATATATCACATACGGTTTTGGGATTTAAACGCTACTTATTTTGAATGCTATGATTCGGAAGTGACGTCACGTTCTTCACGTTTTGTTTGAGAGCGAGAACGAGACGTGCCAGAAGCCCGGCTTTTTTGTCAGTCGACCTGTTCAAAGTACATTTAGTTATAATTATCGCTTTCCAGAACAATTTAGGAAACAATATTTTCTATCTACGTCGATTACAAAGCATCTAAGGTACGTAAATTTATATGAACAACTGAGTCAATAGGGATAAATAGCCCAACGAGAGTCGGCGGTCTTAAAAAATACTTGGATCTGGATGCCAGTCCTGGTATAAATATAGTTCCAGGGCAATTCGAAGAACGTATTAGATGTCCGTGATTGTCAATGCTCTGTGCAATTTACCTACAGAATTTCCCTGCTCATCACAATTTCCTGATTTTGAGGGAATCTGTTTTGAGAAATCAGTGAAGCAAATTAGAAGGTGGTGTCAAATTACTATAGAAGTTGATTTTGAACTGTGAAGCGCAGACATGACTTCAATATCACCAAAAAGTAGGGTGACATTCTATATTTCCTCTAAGTTTAGTCCCTTTCTCTTGGCAAGCAATAATCATTGTCAGGATTAATTTTGGGCTTTTTCACAAACTTTTTCTCCAGATGCTACCAAAGAAATTTTTCTTCTCTCAGCCAGAGAGAAACAAACTTCTCGATTTGAAATTAACTATACATGTTCCTGGGCCTATGCTTGAAAATGGAGAAGTCAGAAAAATATAAGTCAATTTCAAGGCATTATAGCAAAATTTACCCTTTATCTTCGGTTAAATGTAAAGTTAATTCAGAACTAAATCAAAAAATGCATTTATTTTATACCTACTTGAATTTTAAAGGTGATTCACCCCTTGTAGAAGAGTAATCCTAATAGAAGTGAGAGAGAATTTTAAAATCTCCTGCCACCATTTTGAAATTTGTCTTTTGTTCCAAGGAGTGAATAAATTCAATTCAAAGAAATGGTTATGACAAACATTCTAAAATGCAAGTTTAATACATCACAATAAATAAAAAAAAAAGTTAAACTATTCTTGGGATTGACTTGGTAAAAAACACTTAAATCGAACATTTGATTTTTGAAAATGAATGAGTGTCTAGTTTTCCATTTTCATATGGGGCCTGCCATCTTTAAAATTATTCAATTACCATTTCTATAATTAATAAATGCAAACAATCTTCAAAAGGCATTCCTAACAATCCTAAAGATTAGCCCCCCTAAAAATTATAATAGATATCAGATCAAACATTCAAATTACAGGTAATGAGATATGAGATGCAAAAATTTCCAAATTCATTAGAATTGCAAAAGGGGACACCCTCTTTTCAAAACCTTTGCCAGAGTACCTTAAAAGTAGAAGGATCATCTTGAAATAAAGTCAGACCTGTTGAATTTCAGAAAACATGCATGGTTTTACTCACTATCATTGTCATAAGTAGCACATGCAGCCTTTTTGAATTAAAAAAACATATTTTATCAATATTGTGACTTTTTAATATATTTCAGTATCATTTACTCCAAGTATGGAAGGAATATTGGGAAATTAAAACTGGGTTTCTGTGTTTAAACAAGTGTAAAGATAAACAAGTTATATGTCAGTAAATTAAAACAATTTAAAAATAAAACAACTCATAAATGATAGCAAAGATCTCAATATGGCATAAATAATGTACATATTTTAAAGTGGTATTATTGCTGATAAAGGTATTGAAGTATTGAACATTTTCCATGGGGCTTTCATAGATTTCTTCACATTTAATGAGAGAAGTTGTAATTTTCCCCTCTTTTAGTATGTTACGCATGGTTTATCTATGTGATCTGAGGCAGTTCTGTATGTTTAAAAACTTTATGGATACCCTGATTGGACATAACACATAACTCATTCCATATATGGATCTTTCAGTTTTCAGCACAAAGAATACATCAATGTAGTTAGATTATGAGTTTAAGGTTAACTATTGAAAATAAAATTCAGTACCCAAAAAATGTCAGCCACTGTATTTTTTCCATTTTTGGCACATTTTCAGCCCAAGGCCCATCCTGGAGGCCGCGCACCTAGCCCCCTAGCTATCATAGTTGACGTCTCTGAATCTAACTTCATATGCCTGTCAGATATGTTGATAATGAGAAGCTGAGAGGGGATTTTATTAGTACCTTTTATCTGTACCTTACTACTTAATTGAATTATCATAATGCTTATTTTTTGGAAGTGAAGTTTCCTAAAATTGACAATTGTTTGCAGGAAATTTCCTGTTTTTTCCCACAGGAGGGACATAATGATCAATAGACTGAATTCTCAGGAAATTCAGTCTGTTGGATATAGACTACCCCAACCCCCCACACCCGATTAGTCTATATCAGACTAGAGGATATAGTCTACACACCCGATGGTGATTGATTTCTATGGCCCATCCTGTACATATAGCTATTGTCAATTTGAAAAGCCTAACACACTGCTCATCAAATTTCCTTCATATAATGGTGTGCATCCAGTGTCTCTGAACTGAACATCAGCAATACAAAGTACTCAACCTAAAATTGAAAATCAATTACGAATACTCCCCAAGTTTGTTATGGCTGTTCAATTTTGCAAACATTGAGTCGTTTTCCAATATGCATAAATATTCATTTCACAAATTTATTTTCATAATACCAAATATTATGAGTTTAAAAAATGAAACATAATTTTACATAATGTTTTTCTGTCCTATTTTATTAATGTATTCAGTTTTCTATCAAAGACATCGACATTTAATGAAAAGATATGAAGCTGTAAGCACATAACAGAGAACAGCATTTTTGTACTAATTGAATTGGTGACTCAAAAGCAAAAATTGTATGTCGGATGACAACATTATCCATATTTTAGTTTTGAAAGTAAACTTCTAGTCGCAGAAAGTGAAATCCGATATCAAATAAATATCTGACACAAGCGTATGCTCAAGGACTTCTATAAACAATTTTTTACATGTCGTTATCAATACCAGCCATGCACTTTAAAGCCACATTACAGTAGACACCGTGAATAGGTAGACGCCATTTTGGGAAGACGGTGAATCTTCATTGTCAATTTTTAGGATTTAACCCCATCCCCCGGGATGGAGGAAACTAAGATCATATACCACATCGATGATGAGGATACTCCATACCTAATTAAACTCTCACAACCACCGGATAAGGTTACTTTAGGCGATTTAAAGAATGCTTTGAATCGTCCGAATTACAAATTTTTCTTCAAGTCTATGGATGATGATTTTGGGTAAGAATATCTTTAAAATAACTGGGTTTATTATTTTCATATGAGTGCCATTATGTGGGATACAAGGCCACCCGCTAAAATTACAAATTCTACCAGAATCGGTTGGTAATTTAAAAAGATATACCATTTTTGTAAAGGTAAATTTTGATATTTTTTCTCAAAAGTTGAGACAACTGTATGCCTACATATCAAAACCATTAGCATTTATATAATTTGTATTTGCATGACTCACTTTGATCCTGTGAACTCTTTTTGTGAATATCTGTATTTGAACAACAATTGATCAACAGTGATGTTTCAATTCTTGTAGGCTGGTACCAGTTGTAGTTCAAAATTTCTAAAGAACTCTGATAACAGTATGTCTATTTAGAAACTGGTTACGTCTTTCAAATACTGTAGGGTGAGTGCAATTGATACATGTACATTATCATGCTCCAGTTTTCTTACTTGAGAACGCAAAGCATATATTATCTCTCATCAAGGTTCTCTTGGGGGTATGAAACGTGCAGAACTGACAAATATTTCCTATATCAGTATATTCCTGACTGTAAAAGGGTAATTTAACTGTACCGATTGGTCTCATAGTTAGATAATCAAAGCCTTGTCTTGTTCAAAGTATCATTAGCCCAGCAGACCTTGGCTTGTTTTTTGTTTCGTACAACAATTGGTTTGACTGATTTATGATCTATGGATGAATTTATCTGTATATTACATGTATTGCCAATGAGAGAATTTTTATTAAACCTTTATGAATAAATAAAAGATAACATTTTGCGACAAAGATGATACGTTTACAGAATTAATGATTTGTTCAGGTTTAATTATTCAGATAATAATCAATAAAGATATGTGATTGATGAAACTTGTTGAACCATCTCTTGTCATAAGGAATTCACATAGACCTCAATAACACATACCGGTAATAATCTTTTAAGATCATATTCTTTCTATCTACATTATAGAAGGCATATTGATATTTTGGAAACAGAAATGTTATGCAGATATTCTCTCTTGTATAGAGTGATACGTCACTTTATCATGGGCTCCTAACAAACATCGAAGAATGTTTCCAACTGTTGGTTGTATTACTTCAAATGTGCAACTTAACAAATGGAACAGGTTTAGATAAGGACAGTCAATTTCAGTCTATGTATATGAAGCAGTATTTCATATATGTCATAAAAATGCCTGCAGGGAAAAAATATTTTATTACATCAAATTATTCGTTCTGATTTAATGTGCACTCTAATCATTGTGTCATGGTACTAATAGGTATCATTTCATGATCAATGCAATCTTAATATCCCAATTTAAAAGCACATTGTTGTAAAAATGTTATTTTACAAAATTCATGCTTTATGATTTGATTCACATGGCCAGGTTTCCCTACTGTGTTTGTTGTTATAACAGTGTCTAGTAAGGTGACATATAACTACATGTATGTTGAAATTTTTGTAATCCCTTTCTCAAGTAGATCAGAGTGAGTTATTAAGGCTGATTGCTCATGATAATATCAGTGTACAAGTCTATATGTTATGTAAAAAGTCTTAGTTCAATGATCTCCCCAGCATTAACGCAAGTGGGCGCAGCACCCACTTTAGATTTTGATAAAAGGCTTGCACCCACCCAAGAATTCATTTGCACCTACATGTACACGGAAAATGAGAATATTGCACCCGCTTGAGAAAAAAATCCTCTGGAGATCATTGTAGTTATGTAGCGAGTCTTTGAATTCTTGCAATTCTCATGAATTCTGATTTTCTGACCCTTTTGTCTATCTCCTTAGAAAAGTAGATGCTGCATATAATAAACCATGCCATCTCTTTTATTTTTTTCATTATTGCTGTTGCTAGGTACAAAACAAATTTAGATGTTACATACAGTATCAGATGTTTTGCTTATCACATCATAAAAAGTAAAACCTGTTTATTGGAACACTTCTTAAAACAAAACACCTTCAAAATGAAAATATTATATAAAACAAACTCCTGCAAGTAGAACACCTTGCAAGTAAAACACACTCTTTAGGTACCAAGGGTTTTCATTTATACAGGTTTTACTGTATCGTTGTGTTTCTAGTACACTATTCCAAGTGAACAACACACTGTTAACTTATTGCCAAATGATTAACATACTAGACCTCACTGGATCAATCTGCATCATTAGAAGTGATTGGTAATCAGCTGCTGTATTCTTTAAAAACAATGGGTCAAAGTGACAGTGGTTGATTTGCCTGTTTTACTGAATGGATGTATGTATCAAAATCAGCCATAGTTTTCTCCTGATGACCATTTTGAAATATTTTGTTTTATGTGTTATGCCATCTCTTTACGGATGGATGTTGCCCCTTTGATACACTTATGAACCTAGAGACTGTATTTGTCTGTCCCACATCATTTGAGACTGAATGGTTCATCTTGAAAGAATGCTAGTATCTTCAACTTTTTTCAATGCATTGAGAATCATGTATTGTAATGACTTCACAGTGAATGAAATATCTTAGGTATTACACTGTGATAATTGTACTTGATTAGACATTGTTTCTTTTTACTTTGGATCAACATTTGGGATAGTTGGGGTTTGTTTTCGTTTTGAATGGTATACTCTGAGATCTTGATATTATTTTTTTCGCTATGTTCTATTATATTTTTGGGTTCTTCATAATATTAGGAAAAATACAAAAGATAAACCTTATTACAGCATACTCTTTCCATCTATTTGACTTTGCCTCTTAAAAGGGAGCTTCATCTTCATGTAAAGAGCAAGATTTCCTATTGTGACAGTTTTCAAGATGTGCAGGTTTCAAGATGGATGTAAGATAATTTTCAAAACATGGGAGACGCTAACATCAATTTTGTCAAATTTTACTACTCTACAATACTACGCTATATTACCAATGCTCATAGTCTAGCTACAAGCCCCTGTGATCCCCACTCACGAGGGCCTGTAACTACACTGTCACTATTATGGTACTAATAAAATCCCCTCTCAGCTTCTCATTATCAACATCTCTGACAGGCATATGAAGTTAGATTCAGAGACGTCAACTATGATAGCTAATCAATATGTTGATTGTGGAAATGTATCATATGTAGGCTATTGATCTTAGATATATCAGTGAAATGTGTCATTTCAAGAACTTTTACCCTGAACCCCCATTGTCAAGTCATACCACCCTCTGTTTTGATATTCTTATGATCTTAACGAGCTCAAATGCAGCTTTCATAGTCTTTTATAGGAGTTTGAATACGAAATTAATGTGCACGAGGGACATTTAGATGAAAATGAAGTTTCTTGATATTTTTATAGTCTATTAAGATGTAGGTTCAAATGAATATCTCTAAATATTCCAGAGTATGAGCATAGCCAATCTCTTGCACAGGGTATAAAGGAATTCTTATCAGAGGCTGGTTATATTGATCTAGCTGTTGCAGGTATATAGACAGTAGCTATTTGACTGGATATTATGGAATTCTGATTAATTATTTGCCTAGTATAATGAGAGGAAATGTCAAGTAAGGTTGCTAAATGAATGGTCAATATGGTCCCTTTCTCATGCTTAAAAGGTTTAGTTATGTGATAATTGCTGTATATTGTAGATACATGACTGTTGTGTTTCATTTCTTAGTGTCTGCCATTGCATCATTGTGATGAACTATTTTATCTAATTTCTCTTTGTCCTGAGGTACATTCTATTTTGGTAAGACTTTTGTGAAATTTTACCCATCCTCAAATTTCCTATCTTTCTTTCCTTCTTTTCATGCCTTACAGTGTTCATGGTACTGTTTTAGTCTTCTATACCACACGGTACCATATTTCACAAATGTGCCAAAATCATTCCATGCGGTACTGTTAGCGATTGCCTGTTTATGTGAATGTTTTCTGGTAGATGATTACATCATACAGTTGGTGAATCTGCAATATTATTCTATAATGTCTGGAAAGACAGTTATAAAGAAAATTGATAATAACTTGCCTACAGGGGGTTCAATTCCATAATCTGATTTCCTCTGTATATCTGACACTAATAAGGATCTATTATGCAATGAAAAATTATCATTCGCCCATGTCTAATAACAAAATTCCTCTATTTTGAACAACACAGAACTAACAATTCAATGTAATTATACTAAAGTACAGTAATTATAATGATAAATTCTATTATTGCATATGAAGAGATCTGTGTCTGTAATATGATCATCCATTATGAGTTTACTAAGGAGATGAGATATATCCTGAATTCCCATTGGCAAAAGCCACAGTAGCATATTCTTGCTTTTGTAAAGGGTAAAATGATCCGTATTAAGTCCTATATATGTATCACATTGTAAGATAAGGGAAATCTTGAATTGATGAGAATCAACCAAATTATGTTGCCATCAATTTGTATATTTATCTTGTTTTAAAGGTTTTAGAATAAAAGTTTCTCTATTTGGAAATTGTGAGACCGTGAGTTGTTGTATTCTCTTGTTTCGATACCTTTTTGACCTTATAGTGGTATATCATCTGAACTATTGCAGACATTTTTTGGTGATTGTTCCTCAGTGATATTTGAAAGAAGTTTTCCAGAATGACTGGGGTCATGGACCCTGATTTTTTTGTTGGAGCCAAAAGCACGGTCATATATAGAAAAAATGGTTGGTTTATGGTTTATTGATGAATGAATTTGTTAAGTTAATTGGAAAGTGATTTGCCGCATGGGAAAAATATATATTAGAAAGTTAGAGATCTTCTTATTACTATTGATCTTGGGCAGTTGGTAGAGAGGCACAGGTCTGTGATAATCCTCTCTAAATAGAATTTGTTTGTAATTTATTAGCATCTGGTACCCGTTTCAAAAATTTTGTGTTCTTTAAAAAAAGTTCATTTATGGTACTACTAGAAGCTCGTATCATGATATCCCTTTGTAGACTGATGCTTTATTTTATTTAAATAGTACCATTTTCAATATTTTGATTTTGTTTCTTCTTTTGGACTTTTGGATAGGTACAGCTAAAAAGGGGTTATTTTACAGACTAATGGTGCTTTTACAATAAAACAAGATGTTGTATCGTTCTGACATTACATCATGTTTGCAACAAGGCACTAGAATGAAGGATTAAGCATAGTTAGCCTGCTACCTTTACCGGACCATGTTCTTGTTGATTTTCGACATTGTGACCCTCTCTCCCTCTTAAAACCTCACTTTCACGAGAGAAAGTTCTAGATGTGAAGCAGATAAACATGTACCATATTCACATACTGAGCACCCATTGCCTTTCCTTGGAAAGAGAATCAAGCTTGTTTAATTTAATTTTGTGAATGTAGCTTGGTTACAGCTGGATGAAAACTTCACATTACATCTGTATAGAAAACCCAGCTGAACTTTAATCTATAAAACCAACAGGAATGTGTTAAACCATTTGATAACTGCCTGTAATCTCCATAATTTCTCAGATTTCAATGTATACAGTGAAACCAAGTTAACCATTAAGTTCTGAGTAACATGTTGAAGGATTAATTTTGTTACAATTGATAATTGCAGATATAAGTTTAACAGTGGCATTTTGTATAGTTTCAAAAAACATAAGGTTATATAATGTATAAGAATTTCTAATGAAGATTTAGGCATATAAACATATGGTATGAGCCCCCTCCCAAATGTGAGGTGCACAGGCTTTGAAAATAAATAAAAAGTTATTGTTAGGGATCCACCTCCCCCCGTAGATATTCCCAGATTGTAAAGATTTTCAAATGAAGCCAGTGATGTATTATGATTATTAATTTTACAGTTTGTTTTTCTCATATAACAATTCTCAAACAATACCAAGATCATGAATAACTGCAGTGATTAAAGCAAGAGGGCGCATCACCCACCTGAGATTCTGATAATATGCTTGCACCCACCTGAGAATCTATTTGCACCCACTTAAATCTTGTGGAGATCATTGAACTGACCTATTAAAGTATATATTCTCTTCATAAGTTACATTAAAGTTATGTAGGCTACTTGATTGTTTTGGAAATGATTAGCGTTGTGTATATAAGGATATCTGCATATGTAAGGATTTCTGTAACTTGTTTATGTAAGGCGGTGTTAATCTACCAAAAATCTCTTTCATGTTCCCTCTCCAGTAATTAACAGGTTAATTAGGGCATATTTTCTGATGTTGCATCTTCTGTGTTGACCTTTGGTAGAATTCTGAGCATCAAACGATTTCTTTCAAACAGAATCATCAAAAAAGATTTCAAAGTAATTTTTTGTTTCTTGATAGCTGCTAGCAAGTTGTTGAAATGATGATATTTTGTTGGTTTGCATAACCCTTTGCCAGAGTGATTGATTTCACCTTACACTCTTTATTTAAACGATTAACAGCAAAATTGACTGTGACAATTCAGAGCCAGTCATTGAAAAAGTAAACAAATCACAGTGAGATTGCTGTGCTACAGACTGGCTGGTTGGGACCCTTTCAATAGTAATTTTATTTCTGAAAAAGAAAAATCCAAGGAGTTCAGTTCCAACCCTCAGGATAAAGGGTTGAATGCCGAACTATAAAATAATAACTCAGAAGCGAGCAAGTAGTTACAGTTTTACCGTCGGGTGGCTCGTTCAGGTCAGATAACATGGCGGGTATAGTAGAAAGTTCCCTTTAACTTAGATATTCATCTGTTTTAGTGGTTCAATTTTCATCTAATAGTTATGCAAATTAGAATATGTCCAGTAAAAGAAAAAAATGTATCTTCCAATACAAGAAGAGACATTTCACTTTTTGTGACAATAACATGGGGGTCTATGGGGAATCTCCTTTAACTAGAAGTCACATTTTCAAAAAAAATTAAATTTTCAAAGTTGATAAACAATTTTCATATTTCTACATGTACCTTTACATGTAGATTTCAAATATAACATCATTTTGACTGAATTTTGAATATTTAATAACTTAAATCAAGAATATTTCTTCTCGTATCTAGTCTACATTGGTCCTTAGAGATAAGTATTCTAGTGGTGAGCTCAGGGCAAAGGATTGAATGGCAAGTTGTAAAAGTATTGGTCTTTGTAAGAGGGTAGTACACTTGATGTTGACTCCAGGGTACATTTTAGTGTTGATGTTTGGCCAGATTTCTGACCTCAGCCTGTCAGTCAGTTACTTCATGCCTTTCAACTTTCCTTTTATTCTTTCAATCAGATTTCATTGAGTTGTCCAGAGCAATGCATATTCATATCAGCAATAAGAAAATGCTGTATAGCAGTATATAACAAATTGTTTGATTTTTGTCAGACCTTTCAGATAACTTAACTCAATGATATTTTTGAGACTTGTCCAGTGAACTGGTGCTTAGACTCTACGAATGTGAGGGTAGGTGGCTCCGCAGGTCTTGATAGTACTGAACTATCCTCACTATGCAAAGCTATTCAAGATCTAAAGTCACCGCATTCTAAGAAACTACTCAACTTAAGATTTTGAGAGGTTTAAATCGTGGGACTGTTGTTTTGGCGAGTAGAAAATATTAAAAGCAAAAAACTCCATATTTATGGGAGTGTACTAACTGTCTTTTCTGTAGGAACTTCACTAGAGAGGTAGATTGTGGTTACTGATTTGATAGCTTTCCCTTTATTTGAAATCAATACACTTGTTCATTCAGATTTGACCTTCTCTGATATGAAACTTATATCCAGGCCAGGTACTATCATTATTGTGTCTCCTTGTTGTGATAGTTTTATTGCAAGATAAGAACTTTGAAAATAAGACATCAATGAAGATACTGATAAACTTATTTTTATTGCATGTTTATGTGTGGCCTGGATACCCCTGATTTGTCACTCAGGCTTCAACATCAAACGTCTTCAATGATATAAGTGTTTCTCTGAGGATTTTTTACTCCATGGAACGGAATCTAACACTGGTCAAATATTTAATAGTCTTACATTAAGTCTGGTCAGTCAGATATAAGTATAATTTGTCTTGCATCAAACTCCTTTCCTTTACCCTTTCTTTCTCTTCTCATTTACTCAGGGGTTAGTTTTCGTTAAAATCTTAGCGAACAATTCCAGGAAATCATTGTCTACTTTTTGACAAACATTGACTTTCAACCAAATCGTAAGTTACAACCATTCCAAAAACAAACCCCAGCCTAACAATGGAATAGAGATGGAGAGAGAATAGAGTTCATTATCTTGATGTATAACCATATTTGTATACTAAACGTGTGTTCATTTTTGTGTTTCAGGGTGGTAAAAGAAGAAATTGTAGATGAAGAAGCTCATCTGCCATGTTTTAATGGCAGAGTTGTATCATGGGTAAGTACACACATTAACCTTTACCATGCTGCCTTATTTCAGCAAATATATCCCACGCAACTGGCTTATTTTTCAAAGAGTGCAAAAAATGATATGCCTGGACTAAATAATTAATATCTCAATAACTACCGAATGAATCTGGATAAAATTTTCACAAAGGGAAGATACAGTGGCCTGGCTCATGAAAAAAAATGTTCTCATGAATTTTTTCGTACATTAACACGACTGGGCATAAATATACCATGAATACTCCTCCGGAATCCGCCGCTCCGCCTCTTCGTCTGGTCAGAATCCAAATCTGAATTTGCAGCGATTCGAATGTTCAATTTTTCAATTCAGAAAATATTCTAGTTTTTTTTTCGATGACCGTTATCGGCTTCCAAGAGCCTAAAGAGCTCGAAATCGTAATCCATTTCCTCCACATTTTCGTTGTGATCGTATTTGTCCACCATTTTGTACGATTCGTTCACTAAAAACGACTAAAACACTGTTTAAATTGTTGAATTGAGAATTATTTTTCGAAATATCGCCATTTCTAGGTCAACAGGAAGTCATGTTAGGCACTGAATAAATCGGGCAATCTAATTGGACAATACGAATGGCGCGAAAAAGTAAAGTTTTTAAAAGTTTGAAATCGGGCGTACGGGTCCGCCGGCAGTTGTGAGAGACATTTTAGTCTCGGCGGACTCGTCCGCCGGCAGCACGCTAAAGGTTAATTACTCCATAGGCCGTGTATACAGAGGAGGTGCTTAACATAGAAATGGGTAATTGAAAAAGGGGAAAGACCAAGTATTATACATAAGTTTTATCTTTGGGCTGACAATGTCTCATTTCATTCTCATTTGAGGATTATCCTTAAAGAGACTATTTTTATGAGTGTAGGACTTAGGAGACTGTAGCAGTGCTGTGCTTTTATGGAAATAATACATGGCTTACTTTTATTCAATGCTACATTTGAGGTTTTTTGTGGTCAGATCACTGTGTTCAATTATATTCAGTTGGGCCAGGCATGGTTGTTGATGATAGGTAGATTCTCTCATGAATCATACCTAAGCATGATAGCAATACAATAAAACCTGTCTAATCTGAATGTCTCTGGAACTGCCTAAAAGTGTTCAGATTAGCAGGTGTTCACATTCCAAGGTTTTATAAACATGTGAGTCAACGCAGGGAATAACCCAAAAATTTTGACCAAATTTTCATACTAAGGGGTGTTCAGTAGAGAGCTGTTGGGATATACTGATTTCACTGTATGTTCCAAAATAGTTCACGTAGGTAGTGTTAAAGTGGGTTTGATGGCTCTTTGATATGTTTGATTATTTATTCTCAAATATTATCCCAACCCCCTCAATGTAAATATTACGTCTATATTAGCCTTACTCTTGCCATTATCTTAGTCTAGCTACAAGCCCTTGTGAGCCCCCCCCCTCCCAACCACTATACACCTCCCCACAATATGTTGGTGAAGTAGATAGTATATAAGGTGGGGGGTATAGTCCAGTTTTAAAGCAAGACTACAATTACCTTCAGTTTATATGAGAAAACTTCAGCAATGATCTATCTGCCAGCAAACATTTTCTGGTTCATGAGATTCCATCAAGAACTGTCTTAATACATAGTATTTTGTAATTCTGCTCAAGCATTATTACCGTTTTCTACTGTTTTCAGACAACCTGTAAATCAACATCATTGTCCTTTTGGATTAACACACATATGGTTCTACTAGTGATATATTGTTCAATATGAGAAACCTATGACTAACAACTAATAAATGACATAAAAAATAAGATTTATTGTCAGATTCCCGATTAAATATTCAAACAAATGGCTTTTGTTCTACAATGAAATGACATCATCCTGAATTATTGTGGCATTCGTGCAATTTTCCCGGCCTTTGTGTCAATCCTATTTTGTGAATGATTTATATTTTTCCATGATTTTGTTCTGATACAGATTCCAAAAATCTGAAAGTAAAGTAAAATCTAAATTAGTCTATTGGTGTCCATGCACACAGTACCCAAAATGCTGAGGCTACCATTCAACAAATGAAGCTGTGTCTCTTTACAAAAGTGCAATGATAGAGCTAGCCAGAATAAATATGTTTCAAATCAAAGATTCAGGCTATTCAGTGCATTTTGGTTATCCAAGGTTTCAAGCTTTGGTAATCAAACTGGAAGCAGGTACAATATTCTTTACTGCACATGTGTCTTTTTCCAGTCACATTTTTGAAAATCAGCTATGAAGGTTGAGGGGGGGGGTGGAAATCTAATCAAAATTAGGACTGGTAAAACAGTTTTGAATCGGTCTGGTTGAGGAGTTTGAACAGGTTTCCTTCTTTTCAATAATCTTGTAAGGTCATCTGTGATTGATTATATCATTTTGATGGACAATACTACATGTATAAATAAATGATACAGCGGGTGGTTATTGCTAGAGATCTTGGGGTTGTTATAGGAAAGGATGTTTTGACATGGTACTTGTGTTTTCTCAGGAAATGATTCCCAGTAAAACAACTATTTGATGTGCTTTTAAGAGATACCATAAATCAAAACATGGAGAGTGGGCTTGAGTGTATGAATAATTATCATGAACTTTCTGACAAATATCATTTGTTTTGAGAAACCCCATCTTGTGTTGATCAAAAACATATACAGCATATCCATAATAGGTCAGTTAGCTTATACTAATTTGATAGTGCCTGTTGGTGTTACCAGTTATAGGGTAGTGTATTACATTCTTGCAAGATGAATGAGCCACTTGTCCCAGTTGAGGTCTGGTTTCTCTCTAGTTAGTCACATGGACAGCTCCATAAAAGTCCTGCAAACTGACCATGTTGATATGTAGAGGATTGCTTGTGGGCAATTGGTCTCTGCTGATACCCCAATATTGTTCTATTAGGATCATCTTTTCAGTGTTTTTCTGAGTATAAATAACAATATTATAACTTTTAGATTCAGTTTACGGTTCACTTCTCTTTTATTGTTTCAGCAGACTTATACATTTTCACCTTTTCTTTTTGTTGACCAGTAATATTATTACAACACAGCCTTTTTTAGGCCAGGGTTTGATGTGTGTCAATGGGCACTTCTTTAACCTTTTGCAATAACTTACCAGGTGGTTGAATTTTGTCATATCAATGCCTTATTTTATCTTAAAATCAATTCAGATTTTTAAAGACCCTGACATGCTTGCATGTTATATATTTGTATTAAACAGAGTATATGTAGGTCTTTATGGCATGCATACGGTCAGAGTGACTGGATTGTGGCTGTGCAGGAGCCAAGACATTTCATCAAGCTGTCGTGGTTCTATTATAAACATATCATTTTTACAAATAGAGGAAACCACATATTAGTTTCATACACATATGCCATTATATGCCATATCAATGGTGAAACTCGGAAGCTGGTTTAGTATGCCAAAGTAGATGTCATCAAGTAATCTAGGTCGTATCAAAATGTCGAAAACATATCAACGACAAAAGGAGGGGATTCTCTAATGAAATACAGAGTGTTCATATAACAGGACCGAAGAAAATAAAAGTTGCATATTGCATTCTGCCTTGCAATTTCAGTATTAAGTTCATTCAATGTGAATTTTGTTGCGAATGTTTGATGATAATCTGCCTATTGAGTAAAAAACTACTTTACCTAACAAAACATGCTCCAAGTAGGCATCTCGCCTCTTTATGGACAATTGAGTCTGGCAAATGAAGTTGTTGATGACCCTACTACACATATCAACATGGATGACAAGAATCGTATGCATCGGTAATCAAACTAGATACCAGAAAATCATAATGCTATAATACTCTGAAGATCTTATTAGTTTCAAAACTAAAGTTGTCTGTTGTAGTCAGAGGGATGTATGGTTATCTGGTGGGGATCCAGGGTGTTTAGAATGATATACTGGCCTACTGGATGACCTTGGGTACCAGCTGTTGGTGGCATGTCACTTGTAATGGTAGAATTTATGAGACACTATTCAAAATAAAATAAAAACAAAAAAGATGTAGATTTAAAGAAATGTCAAAAGCATCAACAGTTGGCAGTATTAAATGAATATCACTGAGGTGATGAATGAATGTGATATACTAAATGAAAGAAGTAGACCATGATTTTCTGAGATTATTTTGAAAATTCATTTGTTCAAATGAATATATTTAATGCTTACAAATCATTCTTGGTCTCCCTTTAGTTGCTAGGTATGTAGTTTCTATTTGGATCCATCCAATGATATTATTTACTCAAGTTGGATCTTGAAGGAACTTATCTGCTGTTATTTTTGGAAGTACTTCACTAGTATTCAAAGTAGCCAGAAGTGAGTGTCAGTGTCAGCCTTATTCCAGCTCATTCATATGAAATACTGAAATAAGTACTGGACTACTGCTCAATATGTTTAAGATTTTCCAAGCTAGTTCAATATAGTTTTCTCTGTATGATTTGTATCTTGATCTATCATGTGACTGATAGGAATGTACTGATGGAACATTATGGTCTTTCTACATAACTCACACCTTCCTTTACTAATTGGTCTTCAGGGGATATCTGACCTCTGAAGAGAGTAGATACATAGGATGTTATCCTCAAAACCCATAATAAGGTCATATTGCATCTGCTCTCTTTCAATATGTTCTATGGACCACTGGGCACTGGTCAACCCAAGCACAGGATTACTTTCTTGAAGGATGAAGACATATATCACATCTATTGTTGTTGCCTTTTTAGGCCTTTTTATGCCCCTCCCCCTCTATCAAAAAATGGGCCTTCACTTTTTGAAAATATGGACCCAATTTTCGTTTCTCCCCCCCCAATTTTTTGTGGCTCAAAATTTGATCACCCCTCCCCCCTTTGTTACAAATATTTTGCCATTTTTGTACCCTCTTCAGTACAGTAGTTTGATTCTGCTTCTCAAGCTTCACCTGCAATATAAATGAATGTAAGACAGTCAGTCTCACAATCCTGTTATCATTCAAAGGAAAATAATATACTCTCGAGTTTGTACCCTCTACTTGGGGTATATAATTCGGGGCCAATTTAATCTCACAATCACATGAAATCATCACTGCAGTAAACCGATATAAAACATATTACAAAATATTTTGACACTGACTATTGTTGTGTTATGACATTTAATAATAATTGCCAAATATTTTGTTTGTGGTATGGTGACAGTTGTAAAATGGCTGTATGTTTTATGGTCTGCTGCCAAAATGAGATATTTTATATATACATGAATTTTGGTTGTCAGTGTTGGTATTTTATATGCATCAGTCTTCCCAAGGCTTGTGGAGAGGTTAAAGTTCTCTAGTTACATAATGTTTATATGTCAATCGACTCCTTACCCCCCTATCACACCAAACTAGTTCTTACCCATTCTTGCCAGTCCTCCGAAAACATCGTTAAATGGGCTCAATCTGGCTGTGGTCGGGAAATATGTCTAAAATAATTAGCTACTTCGTTCATAAACAGTCTTCAATACGTCCATCTCATTCGCAGTTCGTTCAGGTCGCACCACGTCGGTGTGCAACGTCGTATAACGCATCCCTTAGTCTAGAAGGTCATCGAGACCTGATTACAGAACGGTATGGTCGCCATCGAATTTTGAATCATTTCAAAATTCTAAAATCACCTTCCCGTCTTAGAACGTTCATGAAGTTTGTAAATAGTCCTTAGAAAGTTGCAGCTACGTTCATTCTGATCGCACACAGTTTAAAACCAGTTTTGAAGAACGCAGTGGCAACTTGTTTGGTGTGATAGCTATATTTTTGCTAACAGGTTCATAAGCAGTCTTTAATACGTTCTTAATCAGTTCAAACCCGTTTGCAATTTGTTCTACCTCGTTCTCAATACGTCCTCAGACAGTTCAACTCTTTGTAAAAACGTCCCTAGTAGGATTGAAGTACGACGGTTCCTTTCGTAGTACGTCCAGCTCGTCATTATTACATTGTCACTCATTCTAATTGTAGAACGTGGCGACCACGAGAGTATTTTGAGCATGTTCTAAGTTCTAGAGGACCTACCCGTTCAAGTACGTTCGATGGAGTTTGTAAATAGACCCCAAACGGTTCTAAGTACGTCTACTCCATTCGTACACAGTTGAAGCCCGTTTTCGAGAACTTAGTGAGAACTAGTTTGGTGTGATAGTAGGGTTACTTTGTGCTTTTCATGTTGTCGATAAGGATTGAAAAGTTTCACCAGTATTACCTTTGAACTCTCCAATTCTTTATGGTAAGGGACTATCCAAAGCAAAGCACAGTAGAAACTGTGGAACATCTCTTAAGTAGAATACCTCACAAGTTGAACAGTTTTTTGAAGTCCTGCAGTCCATTGACTCCATGCTTAAGTGAACCTTAGTAAGTGAAATACCTAGTAATTTGAACACTTTGTGGGCCCAGGGATGTTCCTCTTATACAGGTTCTACTGTTATAAGTGCCCCAAGATGCCCAAAAACATATGTTACTTTCGCTTCCCTGATCATGAGTCTATAAAACATGATAATTCAATTAAACCAAATTACATAATTGTTGCTGTCTAGCTAGGAAGCGAACCTCTCTCTCTCATGTGTGATCAAACACACCTGTGCCACATTTAATGAAAGCATTGGCGATTGGTAGATGTCCTCACCCTCACCTTTCAAAGGTATACATCAAGTATTGAAAATACTGATTCCTGATCAACATAGATCAAATTGCACTGTAGTGCTACTCTACCTAGTAGGTAGTACCTATACAGTACCTAGATCATAATATAGGATAAATCTACAGATGGATGACTCATGTTAACCCCGTACAAATATATCAATCTTCATCCTATAGCTAATATTTAGCTGCCATTCTCAAGAGAGATGGATAGTAATTTGGCTTGATGGAAATGATATTTGCAATATGACTATTATGTTGTGTCTATGGAAATTACAGGCACATTGGGGGTGTCATAGCCAGTATTATTATGTCATAATGAATCGGTGGCAATGAAGCAAGAAGCTGGAGATGACATCCATCATTAAGTATTAATTCATAAGCAATCAGGGAATGAGGTATTGGTCTTGTGTACTGATTGGTACTTGTATCAAGGGCCATGTAAATTATATGTATCTGTCTTGTCTTTATGGAAACACTGGAAGTCATCATCTGGATCAAGGCTCAGGAACTACTCAACCACAAGTTTCTTTGTTCTTCCAATAGAGTAAAGAGAAATTTTGTTTCCTGGATAGTCTTGCATCAACACCATGTGTTATTCCTTCCATTTTCACTTTTCGGGAATCAGATAGGGATGAGTGGTGAATAAAGGTGCAAAATTAGCAAAACCTGCTTGTTGAATGCACTGACTTCTCATCTTACATAAAGCCCTGGTTGGTGTTGAATTTATTTTTTGAGACAGATTACAAGGGCCCAGTGCAAGATAATTAATTCAACATCCTTTTGTAGATATTTATGTGCTATAGTTTCATGTCAAAAGAGCATTTTCTAAGGCACAAATGATCTCTTCATTGTCAGGTTTGAAAGACAAATTGATTATGATTGAGGCTATGACCTATTTATGGATTGTTATTACCATTATGCCCCTGGGAATCATATGCCATGAAACCCATCACAGTACTGCCACATTTTATAGATAAGGGCCTCTTTTGGACACATTTAGAAAGCAGTCTAGCCTTCATAGATAAAGATGCTTTTGGTAACACAAAGTCAACCTCTGACAAAAGGGTGTTGCCACTCCTACATCATGATACTGTATTACAATGTGTTATGCTATGATAAGCTGAACCCATGCATCAGAAGTCACGGAATAACCTCTTCTGAACAATCTGAAGGAGTCTATGAGTATAATATAGAAGTTAATTAGTGGCCGTAATTTATCATATGAGTCATCGAATTGATGTATGGGAAAAACTAGATATTCCCTAGAATAATAGATTTCTGACACAGTATGGAGAAGTCCAGAAGATATTTTTGTATATAATTCTTCCAGTATCTCACTTCTTACCTTTCCCAAAAATCCTCCATATCAACTTCATTATTTCAGTTACTACATGATTAGTAAACTGATATGTTGTCAATTGGGAAATAATGCTTCGTCTAAACAAGATGACGAACTGCAGCTTCTTTTCACAAGTGGTAGTTGGTCCAAGAATAAATAATCTGTTGCTACTTGCATCTTATATGACAAACAAAATATACAGTGGTCTCCAGAATTTTTTCTTAACATAGTGCTTAATCATTATTCTTGATATACAAATGGACTCTCTATCACTTCATCACTACTTATTATTATGAGAATACAGTAAAACCTGTGAACAAGGACCATCCTCTGTACTGGCTGAAACTATTCCCAGGTAAAGTGTTCCTTACTGAGAGCCATTATGTAAGTCAATGGGAAAATGTGTGTTTTTTATGAAAAAAGTTCCTTCTAGGAGGTGTTCCTCACAGAAAGGAATTTCATCAGACAGGTTTTGATGTACAGTACAATAACTTCTACTATTGCAGTAGTACTCTTGCATCATGTCACAATGGCATGAAGCAAGACTTTGCAAAACACATAGGCAAACAGATATTTTGACAAATGTGTAGAATTCAGTTGACACCGGTTTCATACTTGTTTTGAAAGAAAGAATACTGAATTAATGATATATGTATTCGCTTTGTCTCTAATAAATTGCATTTTTCAAGGTAGTTATACTAAGTTGGAGCAAATAAAACCAGATATATAAAGTTGGTTACATATACGTATATGAAATGCTTTGAAAATATATCTAACCATATTGTTAAATGATAGGTCTGTCTGAATTTTCAATGTGTATAGTTCGCATTGACTTTCACTATTCAAGACATTGGTTTATATAACATGAACTGGTTTCTAAGATACCCCCTCATTTATTGCATGTAAGTTAAAGTAGCTCCTTCACATTGCTTCCTGGGAGTAAACATATAAGACATGCTATACAAATGGTTCAATTAATGGTCATATGGTTAATCTAGTCAAGTCTGTGCTCCTTACTTCCACCTAACCCATGATAGAGAAAGAGTGGGGAAATAGATAACAGGGAGGGGGGAGAGGGAGAGGGGCAGGGTCTTGGTGCTTGCTATAATAATAGTAGCCTAGCTACAAGTCCTTGTGAGCCCCCCAATAAACCCCTCCCTCCTGTGTGAGAAGATGTGTAGTCAAATAGTGAGAGGGGGTCACGGGGGCTTGTAGCTTGGCTATAATAACAGTATGATGAAATAAACTTGGGAGAATACCTGTATGCTTAAGGGGAAGTTAAGCTTTAAAAGTAATAGTTCTTATTGAACAACATTCCACTCTCTAATGATAAGGGGTGCTTCAAAACATTAATAAATGACAAAAAATGTGGAAAAACACTCCATGTAAAATCTAGAGTATTTATATCTCTGTTCACACTTCTTCAGAATCAAATAACATGAGATGTATTCAGATTTATCATACATGTAATAGGTTTCAAGTTATTCACATTTTAGTGTTTTGAAGATTGTTAATAGCACTGTAGAATTGAATTGTGAGTGTCTTTAAAATGTGAAAAGTATGTAATAGTATGCATGCTTTATACATTTCTCTAAAATCTATAGAATTCAATCCTGCCTTACCTGCTGTTACAGGGGTGGGTATTTGCAGAGATAATCAATAATACTATTTCCTTGGGCCATGACTATTGAAAAAACAGTGAACATCAAAGAAACTTCACTTCTTATAGTTTCAAAATAACCAGGGAAATAAACACTACTAACACTAAATAAATATTGATATGTTCTACCAGTGTATTATTTAAACTCTACTGCTAATTCTCTATTTATGTATTAATGAGGTATAAAGATATTAACGATATATGGATGTGAAATCACCAAAAAAATATTGTATATTTAATAAACAAATTACAGCATCAAAACTGAAACCAAAATCAGTCATCCATGGGCTTTAGGAAACCACCCTCTTAAGAATAATGAATGTGGAATCTAATAAATTGTGTTTTTCTGTATTTCCAGCTTGTTGCTGCAGATAACAGTGCATCTGACAATGGTTCTCAATGTGCTGATTCCAACCACGGGGATGCCCCACTTACACAGCCTCCACCCCCAACAGAACGCCTGGGGGGCATTGGAGACAGTAGACCCCCTTCCTTTCAGTAAGTATTACATTAAAGAAGTATTGATAACAGGAGTAACATGACTAGAAATTAGTTTCTAAATATTTGCTTGTGTCTACGATTTTTTTTGATACAGCCAGGATTCTTTTACAAGGGTTTGCACTATGCAGTATTCTCATTTTTAATTTTTTTTTCATGATTTCATTCATTTTCAAGTGAGTGCAAATGGATTTTCATGTGGGTGCAAGCTTAAGTCACCTGTAATTATTAGAAATCACGATGCAATAGCTGATGAGCTTGGAATAGAGAAATGATATCTGATGCCAGCGAAATGAATCTCTTAAATATCTGTTTTGTAGGTCTCTTTGAGGAAATTGAGCTTACAAAAAGAAATTGAGATTTACTTATACTGGATAATTACCAATTAGGTCTGATTGAATACCATTTCTTGCTATCGATTCCATCAACGAACAATCAGCATCTCTATTTCATCCCCAAACATGATATGGCTCTCGATTCTTCATTCCATAATTTGTCTTGCTCAGTATTTTAGTGCCAGCAGAAACAACTTATCAGAATAAAACTGCAGGTTGTCTCTTCTTCAGAATCGAATGAAATTCTTAAAATCCATCTTAATATCTTTTCTCATTCAAAGTTGTAGTTGCCCATTTAAAAAGTGCATATGTGCTTTTCTGAAGTATGTACATCTTTGTTTCTGATCTACTTGAAAAAGTGAGTGACTTTAGATTGAGCAGATCAATCCTTCCTCATGTTTTTTCATGTTGTCTGATTCATTTGAGGCCAACATGTTTGCAGCATGGTGGCAGAGTGTCTTCAGGCCCTCTTTACAATAGAGCTCTTAGTTGTGATAATGCTGAATATATATTTTCCTCGTATCTTTTTAGGTTTCTATCATTTGTTATGTTTATTAAAAATGGTATGTTTCAACAAAAGAACCGAAAATGATAATCGACCATTTTAAACCGTTTATAATTATTTTCGTAAATGGAAAGGCTTGCTTGTTATGTTCAGATTTCTTAAGACTGGGTTGATGTGAGTGCAAATAATGATTTCTTCTATCGCTTTCATCTTGGCCAACATGAGGTTTTTATATAGCACACCTGGAAATAAATCTAAACATTATGAGGAGGATTAGAGATTAAGAATATTCTTGCCCAGTACCTTCAATGGCTTAACCAAACATAAACATGCATTGGGAAAGGTCTTTATGGATGTTATTTTATGGGATCCAGTTAGCTAAATCTGCTGGCTTTTTGTCGAATATTTGATATACATGGGTCAGAGTTGATTGAAATTTAACTAAGTTTAGAAATGTATTTTTTATCATTGTATTGTTCTCTTCAGAAATTTTTCTCAATTAAGTAAATGTTATATTTTTGCTAACTGCCAATGTTATCATTCCAGGTCTTTACAATTCAACAAATTCCGAGTGTATATTATATTAACAAGCAAACCAATATATCTTAGTCTCTCTATATCTGTAAAGGTGGCAGGATTTATCAGAACGATCTATTGAATTTTCACCAGGTTATGTTCATCACATATTGTTATTAATGATCATAAAGGAGCACTTCTATCAACTACAAATATGCCACAGAAATTCTTTAAATAAGCTACACAAGGCTTCAAAAGCATTCACAAGCAATGTAATACATTGAGACCAAAAGCAACAAATATACTTTTAAGTTGAAAGATCCAAGCACCCAAATACTTAACTGACATTTTAACTTCATAATCATGCTGATGTAAAATGGGTGTAATTATGCTCTTCTGTGCAAGGTGCCTTAGAAGTTACTGTAAGGCCACTGAGGTGGGTAATTTATATCATAATGTGCCAAAAGGGGTATAATCTTTACAAGCCACCATGGCTGGCTATGGAGGGGTATGCAGGAAGATTGGTAGATTTCTATGTTTAGGCTTGGATTCTTCATTCTCAGCCTCTGTTGGTCATAGATCAAGTCTCTAACCCCCTTCTCATTTATTTCCATGTAAGACTATATTGAGAAAGCGAAGCGCATGGATGAAACACCTGGTCCAAATGCAAGTCTAGAGAGATGAAGAGGAATTCCCCTTTTGTACAGTGATTGCCTTAATATCACATATCTGAGTATGGCATGCAGTTGAATTTGAGCCCAATTAAAATTTAGAAAATGTTGACTGGACATTTTGACCAATTAAGGCTTTTTGTTTAGAACCAGTGAAATAAGAATGCTACAATAATTACAGAAGGCAGCTACATGTTTCTTATCACAAGGAGCTGACACAAGAGGATCTTTATGTAAAGAAGCTATGATGCATGATGTTTATCTCTTATAAATAGATGTGTTACATCATATTTAAGTAATTACTTTCATTCCTTAGTAGCCTTCTGTTAGGTTTCAAATAGCAAGCTACTCCTGAGTATCTGCCCTTATGTGTTTTATTACACATGAGAAATTAACCATCTAAATACATTCAAAATTCTCCAGATGCTTTTAACATCAAAGTAAAGGTTTTGTATTAGCAAGAAGAAATACTTATGGATTTTATAATTCCATAGGGGAAGGGCATGAGCTACTGGAAGTGTCGGACTCCCCATATCACTATGGTAACCAAGGTACACGTGCCCATGTTTAGCTAAAGAGACATTAATATGTAGGTTATTTGTGAACAGTGTTTGACGGTTGACAATTGACAGTAGGTGTTTGGCATTCGGAGTTTGACATCTGTAACAAATGGCAGATGGTGAAATGTTATGCATGTTAATATCATGCAATTGATATATACTTTGATACATTCAGTGAAAGAAATTGATGTGAACATTTTGTTTGATATTACTTGTATTTGAGATTTGCTTCATCTATCTAGACTTTGCTATGGTCAGACAGGAGGTGGTCAGTCAGGAGGTCTGAAGCTTCATCGGGTAAGATGCCTAAGATGCCCCATACCACACAGATTTGATAACAAACACATCAAATCAGTCCAAGAATTTCAAACGAATGTCAGCACAATGTTGTTCAGCTTTCCATTTAGCACAGGTGTGATTCTGTAAATGCTGTACAGTACTTATCAGAAAACATTGATGCGCTATCCCTAGCAAGCATATGGTATTCAGTGCTTTCAAACCTCTTGTAAAGATAATAGTACTGTACTTAGAATAGGAAACCCATACAGAATTTGAAATACCATAATGTTTTTTGTAACTGAATTTTTCCATCTTTGTTCTAGTCTGAAATCAAGTATTCTGTTTGAGAAAAACATATACTATTCAAGTTTTTTATTTATTATTTATTTACATAGTTGATAATGAATGACATCATAGAGTATCAAGAACTTCTGTATTTGAAGCATTTTGAGTATATAAGCAACATTTTAACTATTGCTAATTCTGGGTTTCAGTATTGCCCAACTATTACTGTGTAGCGAGTGACTGTGTTTCCCCCTCTCGTTGTCATGGAGAAATAACAATAACATTTTGAAAATGTTCGACTTTTTCTTTCATTTTTAATGAGTATTGAATTTGTTGATTCTATTGTGTATATTATTTGTATTTCCAGTGCCAATGTAGGAGGTGATCAAGACAGCTGTGATACATGTACAGAGACAGATTCCTTAATCAGTTCAAGAAGAGGAGGTAAGTTAGGGTTCAATCAAGGTTAAGTTATTCACTAAACAGACCAGACCTTTGGTCGAACCTGTACATTTTGGGACTCGTGTGCATTCAAGCTGAATGTGTGCTATGGGTTGTAAGGATGTGGCTGTGATCATTGGTGCATGAATAAGAATAGGGAGAGAATCCCTGTGTAGGGTAACATACAGTATATACGAAAAAATCAAGGACCTCCGCTCTACATAATAGCCTTGACGTTTGTATAACTTATGATTTGATCCTATGAACAATAGCTCCAAGATCTCATATGCATTCTGCATCTTTGTTTTATCTGTATAAGAAGTTGTTTTTATAGGCTCATCTCATCATGATAAATCTCAGGAACTGGATTCTTTAACTGTTCTAGCTGAGCAATGCAAGGCAGTAGACCTGAACTGATTTTCCTGATTGCAGATATATGTTTATCTTCAGGAAACTTATCTCACCTCTGTGTATAGATCGTCAATACAGATTTAGCAAAAATAACACAGTTCTATGGCAAATACGGGCTGTTTGGAGATTTTAAAGTTCACACAGTTAACACAGCATATTCTGTGTATCATTTCTTTTAGTTCTTGTGTAATTTGTGTTTGTTGTACATTTTGTAATGTAGAGATCCTTCTTATTATTAGTCTATAACATTGAGGATTGTCTTTTTCCAAACAAAAATTGTGGTTATTTGTTCTGGTTTTCTTTCTATTGAAAGATGGCAGCACAAGTATTGCTGCTCAGCTATATTTCTAAAAAGATTCCCCTGTATGTATTTTTTATTTGTTGAAGGTAATAATAGATGGTTCTGTTGTCAGATGGTCATGATTGGGAGACAGATTTCATTTTTACAATCTATCCTATTATAATCCCAATGAACAAAGTTAAAAAGAATAAAGTTTTACTCGGTCTTCAGCCTTGCATAACTGCTATCAAAAACCTGGTTACGCCGCTGTGTGCCTTAAAGTAGTACATGTACATTACAAATATGAAATCATGTTGTTTTATTGTGCCTTGGATATCAATAATGATCACCAACTTGGGGAAAGCCAATCTATTTTTGAATGACGTCATTTGTCTGTCGATTTGACCAATCAGTGACAATGTCATGTCAATACAGATTTACATAATAGATGTTTGTCATCTCTGAACCCTGGTGTTATTCCCCCTCTTGAGAGAGCCTACTATTATTCATAGAAATATTGTAAGACTTTATGTTATGCAGGCTTTAATAAATCTACTTTAATGTTTGAGTAATGATATATTGTTCGTTGGGATTTGCAACTTAACTGGAGTGACTGTTTTCGAGTTGCAAAAGTACTGATTTATTCATCAATTTCAACTCATTTCTATCTCAACTGTGACCTAAGAATGATGTACAATACTGATATGCTTTTGTTGTAGCTGACTTGCATTCTTAGATATTTGATGTAGTTGAAATAAATGTAGTCAAAGCTCATGCTTTTTGGTACTTTTGTTTGAATATTTTATCATCATTGTATTTTTTTATAATTGGATTTGTTTCAGCCTTGTTGTGGTATCTTCAAAAAGTTCGAATAGATGTCATGCATCATGCTTTGAATTCTTTTTTTGCAAGGTGTACAGCTTAAATATGTATCCACATATATTTATACTGCCTAGAATTGAAATTTCTGAATTGAGCTTGACCATATATGGGGATACTGATATGGGATTGAAGTTTTCTACCCTCGTATGTCAAACCTAAAATCAAATTGAAGGTTTTAGAAATCAAAAATTTGTCATTTTTTAATTTGCTGAATTTGAATTGGCATGAAGTATGCATGGAGAAACAGAATAAAAAACTTGAAATCTACCATACATACCATCACATTTATGGGAGTCATACTGAAGGCCATTCTTTTGAAAGGTATTTATATGGCTAGGCAACACCCAGTATAATGTGGTTATCTCATTCAAGTTTCTACTATGTCATGAAAGCATGGATTTACATTGGGCAAGAACATTTCAGATTTCATCAACGTATTATTGCGTGTCAACAGTCTATATATTTTAAGCATGACTAGTTGGGGCTTGAATATGGTCATGCTTCAATAAACAGCCAGCTTCAATATTCAGTGAACATGTAACAGACTTGCTTTTTAACATCTTTGATCAACAATGGGCAATAATACTAATATGCTCCCTGGAGCAGATCTTTTTCAATTGTTTATTCAGAATATATAACAGAGCTATTCATCTAATGCTTGGACAAAAGTAGGAAGGGTCGGACAGAAATTAATGCTTTTGCTTATTTCATTCTTTCAGCTTCCATTCTGTTGTGACATAGTGCATCATGGGAAGTTTGATGCTTATGGGAGTTGATCTTCACTGATGGTGGAAATACACGTGTTGCATGGTTGCTTATATGCATTTGATAGATGCCAAGAAACCTTCGTTAAATTTTTTAATGAGAGTATTATTATTCGAAGTTTTCTTGGTACTCAGATGTCTTGCTTAATGCACGATTTTTGTTATTTTATTTTGCGACATGTTTATGTTCTTTATTTGTCAGGCCAAATAGGAAGCCATGGTAACATCCACTATAACCCCCCTCAGCCTCAGGGTTTCATGCACCCTCAGGATCCGAGGTTTTACGACCCTCGAATGCATCCCGCCTTGAGAGGGCAACCATCACACCCGCAGTACCATCCAAATGGTGAGTTTCAAAGATGAACTGTGTGCCCGAATACATCTGAGAAATGGGTCTATAGCATTGAGCAAAGGGTTTACTGGAAGAATCCCATGATACATTTTGGTACATTGCAAGGGTAAAATAATTGGATCCTGAATAATTCACAGTAATAGTGACTTAAAGATAAATTACCATGTTTCTAATAAAGGTTACCTTGCTGCTTGCCTAAATATAATATATACAATTGCCTAGAAATATAATAGGGTAGGAGGTATTCGGCAGATATGTCCATAAATGCTTAGCTTTGTTTGTATGTGTGTGTGTGTTGTGTGTAGTTCATATCAGTATTGGAACAAAGTTATGATTTTCAAAAATATTTCGTATTTATTTTTTTAGGCAACATTTCATATACATGTACATACATATACATGTACATGTATTTGATTTAGATTGTACTGTATATTTAAATAATATTTGTTATACGGTTAACCAGGTTTCACAGTGAACAACTTGAAGAAATCCAGATTTCAAGTTGGCGTTGTGAAAAATGACACCAGTGGATCTGGAATGGACCAGACAATTTTTATTAAGTGTTTACTGGGAGTTAATATCATTTATTCTATACAATGGCACAGAGAAATGTCATTTCAGACTTCTGGTATTCAAGTCTGTATATCCATGAGACATTCTGGAATTTCTTCATGCTCCAAATTTGAGATAACACTTTGGAAGTCATGTGTATCTAGAATATGCAGTCAGAGAACTATGACACTTCTTTTTGTGACTAAAAGGAGTTAATTTTCATTTATATTCAAACCCCCATTAATAGCCATGAAATCTATGTGTACAGTTAGCCAATAGGGACTTGAAAAAGTGCAAATTAAACACTTCATGAGAATTGGAATTTTATACTATTCAGTACTGGTGGTCTTTGAATCAAAAGACATGAAGGATCTAACTGAGAAGTTATCTCTTGTTTTGACAACGGATGGCGTTGCAATCACTCCTACGTGCAATCAGTCCATATACTTCCACTGATTTTTTCACTGAATTTATTTCAAAAGGCTTGACCCTAAAACCTACTCAAACTAAATTCACAAATCATTAAACTCATAATTAACCCTCACTTTTGGTATTTGCTCAAGCAGTTTGCTTGTTCGTCAATTCTTTGTTTTGATCGCGGTTTACTTTGATGTTTCATTTCAAGGATTTTCTCATTTAACTCCTTGTGTATATTGTGATGAGTAAAATAGATTGAATGGTTCCAAATTATGGGCAGATTATGGAATGATAAGACATGGATGAGAAAATTGCAAGAAAAATATATTAATATGATGAGGACAGTATTGCACCTCTATTTTAATTTCCTTTCTTGATTGAAATTCAAATAATGCGAAGTGATTGAAATGAGTAGTCCTAGAGAATATTTTTCCCTGAAAAATGAAGGAAATACTCTAGAAATAGAAATTACACCTCAAATGGGTATAAAATTCTAGTTTTCACAATTTTGACCAAAGATGACCATTTTTTGCAAGTGCAATTTTTTTAAAAATCTCAAATGGATACTTGCTTCAATGCTGGGGAGATCACTTGTATTGTTAGAAATCCCACAGAGATCTCTCATATGGTAAAGATACAAACTTGAATGATTTTTTCAGAAAATATCACTTCTACAAATCTTTCCATGGTTAAATCAATAATATCCATGGCAGAATATCAGAATATGAGATTAGTGCAGTGAGTTATATGTAGAAAGAGTTATCGGGACATGCCATTTTCTAAGACAGTTTTGTCAATCTAGATTAGAAAACTTCTAGCTCTTTTGACAGCCAGGATGTTTACTGTTATCGTATTATGAAGAATCGTTTTGATTTGATTATCTGTCTATGAGTCGTATACTATGGGAGGTTATTTTACAATATTAATAGGCCTCTATGTGATATAAGTCTTGAAGTGATATTCTTGAAATTGGTACAATTTTGCTAAAATTGCTTGCTATTTCTGATTCTCCATTTAAATATTTGTTGCTCTTTAGATTAAAAAGTACATATTTTTTCTCATTACCTTGGTTAAGCTGACTTCATGTTATAAGAGTCTATATTCAAGTACCTATATCAATCTAAAGCCTTCAACCCAAGGTTGCTTACCCTAAATCTCATGATGAAAAAATGATGTATCCTCTAATTTACAAATGATTTTTCGATAAGATCTTAACAATCTTAAATGGAGCAATTATGGCATTTATGTATGCTAACTGTTTTAATGTTCTTGAGTGCTCTCTACTTAAAGCCAGAAAAAATAATGTCATGATTTTCTAGCTACACAATCTGATTTGATATGGGCTTGATGAAAGAAGAGTATAGCCCTATAGACCAAGTGGGGCTCTTGAAGAGGGTAACAGTTGCTTTTAGTAATTGGTAGTAGCTCTGCATCTCCTACTGAGCTAATTTAATCAAAGTAGAACTTTCTTAATTCCTTACTGAGAGTCTGACGCTATTTAGAAACTGTCTCACCAAAACATTGGTCAGATCTTATGAACTCTTCCTCTGATTCCTTCTTAGCAAGTTGTCTTAAGAAATCTCAGATAATTAAATGAGAGCTCATTCAATAAACAAATAAACAGGTTTGGCATTTCAACATTTCAATCTAGCTGCTGATGTTAAACAGATTTCTGTTTTTTATTCCGATATCAATAATTTATGTTATGAAGGTGAAATTAATTTTGTGGCTGCTTAGCTAGTCTTGCATAAAACTACTTCAGTTCTCTCATTATTGCATTAGGGTTAACATAAGAGGTAACAGGGGTTTGATGCAAGACTACTGCATAACGGAAATATCCATCTACTGTATACCTGTCTAAACAAACTGATTCTCTGTACGTGTTTCTGTGGTAAAATGTTCTGAATCTTCCTAGGGCAGAATAACATGGCCACCCCAAAGATCAAAGATGTTCAGGTTATTAGTAAAGAGAAATGACTATTTGAGTTAATTACTGGAGAGATTTTCACTCCTTTTAGTTGAGGTATGATTAAAGGCAGATGCGTCTATCATATTACCTAGATGGTTTGCGTGTTGAAATAATCTTGAAATGATCCTCATCATACAAGCAGGTCATATGTCTTCCTGATATATTTTAGGCATTAATCTTCGAGATGTCATGTTTGAATAATATTTTTGGAGATGTACTGCCATCATAACATACCTGATCATGTGGAGGTCATTTATTTAAGTATAAAAGCACAAGTTACAAAAAAGAAAAGATCAAAGTGGATTGTAAATCGCATTATCAAAAATAAACATACAAGAAAGAAACCAGTTAGTCATAATGAAAACAAGCCCCACTATACCAAACTAAAATCTAACACAGAAATACCTACTCTCCCGCAATTCAGAAATGTCAAAATTTCTCCTAAGAAATTGATTAATTGATAGGCTTTTCAGCAAGCCTCTTTGATTCTCACAAAGAAATTGATTTCAGGATGCTTTCTGAATTTCCCACCCTTGCCCTCATTTTCACTCAAACATATTGATTACACGTTCCTCTTCTCTTTAATCTGAATAAGATTTCTCTTTTTGAATTTTTTTTGCAGTTAAGGGTGTTGATTTTAAATCTTTGTTTTTATATTGGTTCATACTGATATCCTTTTGTCATCTGGGTTTCATGTTTGAAAGTTTAACCAAGACGATGTTTTATTTGTGGGGTATATCTACCTTTAGGGGATGATGGATAAATGATCTAGGATGAAGTTTATGATATCCTTGTCACAGGATACATTATCTCATTAATTGTAATGAATTCAAACATACTTTTTCCATCATGTATGCTTTATCTAGTCTTTGCATATGTGTACTATAAATTGATAAAATTTGCGACTTCATCAATTACCTCTATTGGCGCCAAGATTTCTTATATGTCTTTTTAGCTAGTATATAATCGTATAGCTTTGGGAAACATAGTTATTGCCAAAACTGAACTGTCAGAATAGAAGGTTATAACAACTACAAGTTAATTGGAAATAACTCTTCTGAAAAACTATTTCTTGTTTGTTTTTACATTTGTATTCTGTTAGAAAAGAACAACAATTAGAAGATGCAATAAAAAATGAGGTAAGGGGTCAGGTCAAAAACCAAGGGATATGTTCAAAGTATATACCCATCAAATAGCATTATTAATTTTTCCGCCTCACTAGATTCACCATTTCTCCTATTTTCAATCAAACCTCACATGTCGATTTCTTAACCTGCATGCATTTAATTTGTAAATGATTTGTAAAAAATCTATGGTGTCACATATTGAAACGATTGAGTTGATAATTACATGATTGGGTAGACATTGGTATCTTTACTTGACCATTAACACTGATTGCATTTTTGATAAATCAGAGTCAACAACAGGATAATTTCCTTGTTCAAAATCATGGTGTTATCTCATCAATGTTTGATTGACATCATGTCAACTTTGTTTTTTATGTTCAAGGACCTGACGAAATGTGATTTCCCTAATATATACTGACATAAAGTGCCAGATAAGGTCACACAGTGGGTGCTCATTGTTTTTCATGCTTCTGCTCAATTTTGTAATGTTAACTTTTCTGAATAAATGCAAAGTAATATGCTTATGTGCCTGTTTGTGACAGATTGCTGATGAAACTGGAATGTAATATACTTTTAGCCCATCTGTAACTCCAAAGGTGGTTATAACACAGGTTGGAACAATTAGATTTAGTGATTCAGTGTATTGAGATCTTACTATAATTTAATCATGGTTGTTGACATCTCTATATTGTTATTATCCCTTGGGAGATGTTTAACCTGTCTCTAGTCTTGCATCCTGACCCTGCACGCCAACCAAGTCATTTTTTCATCAAAAGTAGTGACACTGTTTTGGTTTCCAATTTGTGATGCCGTTTTGGCTTCTGTAACAAATGGCAGGCTGTGATATTTTCCATGTTAATGTCTTGTTTATATATTATATAGAATGATTGGAAGTGGGTCTAATGGCAGACTGTTTATCTCACGCTATA